AAAAAAACAATGAGGAGGAAGCAATACTAACGAACTACTGGGCAAGAATTTTACAAAATTGATGAAAGACATCAACTCACAGATCCAAGGTGGGAGGATCGCTTGAGCCTGGGAGATGGAGGTTGCAGTCAGTCAAGAATGCGCCACTGTACTCCAGCCTGGGTAACAGAGAGAGACCCTGTTTCCAAAAAAAAAAAAAGGCAGAATGTTGATAATTGCTAAAGCTACGTGTTAGGTATATATGGGTTCATTATGTTTACTTTATGTATGTTTGAAATTTAAAAAATACTGTATAAAGATATTTTTAAGTAACTGACACTAAATACTCCAAATAAAAGGCACATATTTTCTGATCTACAACTACATGCAACAACATGGTTGAATCTTATATGACGTTTAACAAAAGAACCAGAAACAAAAAAGTTTCTGTATGGTTTTATTTATTCTGAATAAGAAAACAAATAAAACTTATCTATGTCATTAGAAATTGGGGTAGGCCGGGCACAGTGGCTCATGCATGTAATCCCAGCACTTTGGGAGGCTAAGGTGAGCAGATCACCTGAAGTCAGGAGTTCAAGACCAGCCTGACCAACATGGTGAAACCCCATCTCTACCAAAAATACAAAAATTAGCCAGACACAGTAGCACGTGCCTGTAATCCTAGCTACTCGGGAGGCTGAGACATGAGAATTGCTTGAACCCGGGAGGCGGTGGTTAGAGTGAGACGAGATTGCGCTGCTACACTCCAGCCTGGGCCACAGAAGGAGACTCTGTCTCAAAACAAAAAAAGAAAAAGAAAAAAAACTAGGGTAAAAGTCACCCTTAGGAGAGTAGGGACTGGAAGGAGCCATGAGGAAGAGTCTCGGAGGCAGGTAGTATGTTGTATATTGAAATGGGTTTAGATAACACAGATGGTTTCAATTTCTGAAAATTCATAAAGCTTATCACTTATGATCTGTGGACTGTTCTATATAGATATTACACTTCACTGAGAGTTTTGGTAAAGTCAAAAATTAGCAGTCAGCATAAAAACAAAACCCAACTATATGCTGTTACAAGAGACATGCCTTAACTGTAAGCACACAAAAAGATGGAAAGTTACAGGATGAAAAAGATACACTATATAAACACTAACCAAAGAAAGCTGGAGTAATCTCTACATCAAAGTAGCCATTAAGGCAAAAAGCATTGCTAGAAGTAAAAAAGGACATTTCAAGGTAATAAAGAGGGTCAAGTCACCAGAAGGATACAACCGTTCTAAATCTGCATGCATTTAATAATATAGCTTCAACATATATAAAGCAAAAATGACAGAACTGAAAGGAGAAATGGAAAAATCCACAGTCATTCAGTACAAGAAGCAAACAGTAAAGATATTAAAGATTTGAATAGCAGGATTAACAAACTTGACCTGACATAGCTGAACTGCAGGATATGCACTCTGTTCTTTTGTTTGTTTGAGACAGAGTTTCACTCTTGTTGCCCATGCTAGAGTCTAATGGCACAATATCGGCTCATAGCAACCTCTGCCTCCCAGATTCAATCAATTCTCCTGCCTCAGCCTCCCAAGTAGCTGGGAAGACAGGCGTGTACCACCACGCCTGGCTAGTTTTTTTTTTTTTATTTTTAGTAGAGATGGGGTTTCACCATGTTGGTCAGGCTGGTCTCGAACTCCCAACCTCAGGTGATCCACCTGCCTCAGCCTCCCAAAATGCTGGGACTACAGGCATAAGCCACCATGCCTGGCCTTTTTTTTTTTTTTCTTTTTTTTTTGAGATGGAGTCTCACTCTGTCTTGCCCAGGCTGTAGTGCAGTGGCACGATCTCAGTTCACTGCAGCCTCCATCTCCCAGGTTCTCCTGCCTCAGCCTCCTGAGTAGCTTGGATTACAGGCACATGCCACCACATCTGGCTAATTTTGTATTTTTAGTAGAGACAGGGTTTCGCCATGTTGGCCAGGCTGGTTTTGAACTCCTGACTTCAGATGATCCACCCAACTTGGTCTCCCAAAGTGCTGGGATTACAGGTATGAGCCACCGTGCCTGGCCACTCTTTTCAAATATACATGAAGCATTTGCTAAAACAGACCAAATCATGGACTATAAAGCAAATCTCAACAAACGTCAAAGAAGGGAAATCATATAGAGTATGTTTGTATGTTCTCTGACCACAGTGAATTAAATACGAAGCAATAATAAAAAGATAGCACGGGGCCAGACGCAGTGGCTCATGCCTGTAATCTCAGCACTTTGGGAGGCTGAGGCGGACGAATCACGAGGTCAAGAGATTGAGACCGTCCTGGCCAACATGGTGAAACCCTGTCTCTACTGAAAATACAAAAAAAAAAAAAGCTGACCGTGGTGGTGCGTGCCTGTAGTCCCAGCTACTCAGGAGGCTGAGGCAGGAGAATCGCTTGAATCCAGGAGGCAGAGGTTGGAGTGAGCCAAGATCATGCCACTGTACTCCAACCTGGCAACAGAGCAAGACTCCATCTCAAAAATAAATAAATAAATAAATAAATAATAAAAATATAACAGGGAAGTAAGCAATATATCTCTAAAAATTATCACTCAGGTCAAATTAGAAAATATTTTGAATTGATAATAATGGAAACGTGGCCAGGCATGGTGGCTCATGCCAATAATCCCAGCACTCTGGGAGGTTGAGGCAGGCAGATCACTTGAGGTCAGGAGATCGAGACCAGCCTAGCCAACATGGAGAAACCCCCATCTCTACAAAAGATACAAAAATTAGCCGGGTGTGGTGGTGCATGCCTGTAATCCCAGCTACTCAGGAGGCTGAGGCAGGAGAACCGCTTGAACCCAGGAGGTGGAGATTGCAGTGAGCCAAGATGGTGCCATTGCACTCCAGTCTGGGTGGCAGATCGAGACTCTGTCTCAAAAAATAATAATAGAAATGTGACATAACAAATGTGTCAAGTGTAGCTACAGAAGTTTTTAGAAGGCAAATGGTGGCTCTAAATGCATGTATTAGAAGAGATTATTAAAAATCAAATGACCTGGCTGGGCACAGTGGCTCACGCCTCTAATCCCAGCACTTTAGGAGGCCAAGGCAGGTGGCTCACCTGAGGTCAGGAGTTCAAGACCAGTCTGGCCAACATGTTGAAACCCCAACTCTACTAAAATACAAAAAATTAGCCAGGCATGGCAGGGCACGCCTGTAATCCCAGCTACTCAGTAGGTTGAGGCAGGAGAATCGCTTGAACTCTAGAGGCAGAGGTTGCAGTGAGCCAAGATGGCGCCACTGCACTCCAGACTGGGTAACAGAGTGAAACTTGAGTCTCAAAAAAAACCATCAATGACCTAACGACCTAAAATATCAGTGACCTAAGCATTCACCTCAAGAAGTTGGAGGGAAAAAGCTGGAAAAAGAACAGCAGATCAGGAGCTAGAGGGCACATGGCTGAAGTCCTACCTACTCAGGAGGCTGAGGTAGGAGGATTACTTGAGCCCAGGAGGTGGAGGCCACAGTGAGCTAGGGTCACATTACTGCATTCTAGCCTGGGTGAGACCCTGTCTCAAAAGAGAGGAAGGGGGAGGGAGGGGAGGGGAGGGTACAGGAGGAAGGGGAAGGGGGAGGGAAGGAAGGGGAGCGGGAGTGGAAAGGAGGGGAGTGGGGGAATGGGAGAAGAGGAGGGGAGGAGGCGGGGAAAGGTAGGGGAAGGTACAGGGGAGGGGAAGAGGGGAGGTGGGAGGGGAAGAGACGGGAGGGGGAAGGGAAGGGGAGAAGGGAGGGGGGGGAGGCGGAGGGAAGGGGAAAGGAGAGGGAAGTAGGGGGAGGGGAGAAAGGGGGAGGGGAGAAGGGGGAGGCGAGAGGAGAAGGGTAAACGGAGGGGAGGGGAGAAGAGAAAAGAGAGATGCACAAATTATTAATATCCATCACCACATATCTTACAGATACTAAAAAGATTGGCTGGGCATGGTGGCTCATGCAGTAACACCAGCACTTTGGGAGGCCAAGGTAGGAGGATCATTTGAGGCCAGGAGTTCGAGACCAGCCTAACATAATAAGACCGCATTTCTCCCCTCCAAAAAAAGACAATATTATGAACTTTATGCAAATTATTTGAAATTTTAGATAAAATGGAAAAATTCCTTGAAAACCACAACTTACCAAAAATAAAATAGAGCATCTGAATAATTGTATTTTTATAAAAGAAATAGAATTTGTAATTTAAAGTATTTCCACAAAGAAAACTCTAGGTCCAGATGGCTGGTGACTTCTTCCAAACATATAAAAAATAAATAACATCAATCCTACACTAGCACTTCCAAAGAACAGAAAAAGAGAGAACACTTCTCCACACATTATATATCAGCATAGCCTTGTTAACAAAACCCAACAGGGATCTTACAGAAAAGAAAAGAAAAGAAAATCTGGCAATATATAGAAAGGACAGGCCGGACACCGTGGCTCACGCCCGTAATCCCAGCACTTTGGGAGGCTGATGCAGGTAGATCACCTGAGGTTGGGAGTTCGGTACCAGCCCGGCCAACATGGTGAAACCCCATCTCTACTAAAAATACAAAAATTAGCCGGGTATGGTGGCGGGCGCCTATAATCCCAGCTACTCGGGAGGCTGAGGCAGAAGAATCACTTGAACCCGGGGGGCGGAGCTTGCAGTGAGCAGAGATTGCCCCACTGCACTCCAGCCTGGGCGACAGAGCGAGACTCCATCTCAAAAAAAAAAAAAAAGAAAGAAATAGGGGACGGACAAGGAGTCTCTCAGTTAAATTCCCTCTTCCTCGGCCCATTTCACCGAAGCCTGAAGCCGAAGAGAACACGAGCCACAGCATGGCGGGCGCAGCCATCCCCGCCTTCCACCACCAGACAGAAACTCTCGGGCCACCGCCCGCTGCGCCAGCGCGCATGCGTGGCACGCGGCGGCCGCCGGTGTCCACCTGCGTCTTAGGAGGAGCCCGGACGGGGAGGGGCGGGGCTCAGACGCTGCGCACGCGCACTCGCGATCCCTCGCCTCCTTTTACTCTTTCTGGCGGGAAAAGCTCACGCACTCCTCCCCCAACTCAACTGCCGTTCGTCGTTCGTGGCCGTCGGTTGTGTCCCGAGACTAGGACGTGGCTCCAGGTGCGCCCTGCCCCGTGGCGAGGTTCCCCAGAGTGGCCCTTCCCAGCCCCTACCGAAATCCTAGTGAAGCCCCCCATATTGTGGGAGAGATTCCCCTGCGTCAGGACCCCCCAAATCCTATTAAAATCCTGACCAAGCAGGGCGTGGTGGCTCATGCCTATAATCCCAGCACTTTGGGAGGCTGAGGCGGGCGGATCTCCTAAGTTCGGGAGTTCGAGACCAGCCTGACCAACATGGAGAAACCCCATCTCTACTAAAAATACAAAAAATTAGCTGGGTGTGGTGGCAGTCGCCTGTAATCCCAGCTACTAGGGAGGCCGAGGCAGGAGAATCGCTTGAACCTGGGAGGCAGAGGTTGCGGTGAGCCGAGATCGCGCCATTGCACTCCAGCCTGAGCAACAAGAGCGAAACTCCATCTCAAAAAAAAAAAATCCTGGCCGGGCGCGGTGGCTCAAGCCTGTAATCCCGGCACTTTGGGAGGCCGAGACGGGCGGATCACGAGGTCAGGAGATCGAGACCATCCTGGGTAACACAGTGAAACCCCGTCTCTACTAAAAATACAAAAACTTAGCCGGGCGAGGTGGCAGGCGCCTGTAGTCCCAGCTACTCGGGAGGCTGAGGCAGGAGAATGGCGTGAACCCGGGAGGCGGAGCTTGCAGTGAGCTGAGATCCGGCCACTGCACTCCAGCCTGGGTGACAGAGCAAGACTCCGTCTCAAAAAAAAAAAAAAAAATCCTGACCACTTGGGAGGCCGAGGTGGGCAGATCACGAGGTCAGAAGATAGAGACCATCCCGGGGACGTGAAACCATGTCTCTATAAAAAATACAAAAAATTAGTCAGGTGTAGTGGTGTGCAACTATAATCCCAGCTACTTGGGAGGCTGAGGCAGGAGAATTGCTTGTACGTGGGAGGCAGAGGTTGCAGTGAGCTGAGATCGTGCCATTGCACTCCAGCCTGGGTGACAAGAGTGAGACTCAGTCTCAAAAAAAGAATCCTGGCCGGGCGCGGTGGCTCAAGCCTGTAATCCCAGCACTTTGGGAGGCCGAGACGGGCGGATCACGAGGTCAGGAGATCGAGACCATCCTGGCTAACACAGTGAAACCCCGTCTCTACTAAAAAATACAAAAAACTAGCCGGGCGAGGTAGCGGGCGCCTGTAGTCCCAGCTACACGGGAGGCTGAGGCAGGAGAATGGCGTAAACCCGGGAGGCGGAGCTTGCAGTGAGCCAAGATCCAGCCACTGCACTCCAGCCTGGGTGACAGAGCGAGACTCCGTCTCAAAAAAAAAAAAAAAAAAAAAAAAAAGAATCCTGACATCCCCTCAGAAATTCTGAAAGGAGTCCACCAGAAAATCTTATAGGTGACCCCCGAAATCCTGTCAGAATCATCTAGAAGTTCTGTCAGACTTGTCCCTCAGAGCCTGCCAGAGACTTTCCCCAAGATCCTGTTACTCTCCCCAAATCAGCAGAGATGCCTGGACTTCTGTCAGAGATCCCCAGAAATCCTGGCAGGTCCCTCCCAAACCCAGTCAGACCTCAGATTCCCTCAGAGAGCCCAGAAGTCCATCAAAGACACCCCAGAAATGGAGACCCCGAAATGCAGTCAGAGAGCCCTGCAGAAATCAAGACCCCCCAAACCCAGCCAGAGACCCCCAGAAATCCAGAGACCCCCCAAAAATCAAGACCTCCAAAATCAAGCCAGAGACCTCCAGAAATCCAGTCAGACCCCTGCAGAAATCAAGACCCCCAAAATCCAGCCAGAGACCCCAGAAATCCAGTCAGAGACCCCTGCAGAAATCAAGACCCCTAAAATCCAGAGACCCCCGAAGAAATCGAGACCCCCAAAATACAGAGACCCCAGAAATCAAAGCCCCCAGAATCCAGTCAGAGAGCCCCCAGAAATCCAGTCAGACCCCTGCAGAAATCAAGACCCCCGAAATCCAGCCAGAGACTCCTGAAATCCAGTCAGAGACCCCCACAGAAATCGAAATCCCCAAAATCCAGCCAGACACTCCTCAGAAATTCAGCCAGAGACCCCCCCAAAATCTTGTCAGAGCCCTTGAAAGCCCTCCAAGGCACACACCACCCAGAGCTCCTGCCAGGGCCCCATCCTGCTTCAGTGTCCCCGTCCCAGTCCCATCAGACCCCCGAGATCAACCAACACCCTCGAGGTCCCTCAGGACTTCGTCCCAAACCCAGCCCGTGCGCCAGGGCCCGGCCAAGGCCATTGCCCCCCTTTGCACCCTGCAGGGTGTTCCAGACCCTGGAAGGGCGTCTCTTCAAAGACCTGTGTTTCCAGAACGTTCCAGAAGTGCACGGTGGCAGCGGGCCCACGTGGCTTAGGGAGAGCAGGTGCTGGGGAGCTGGGTGAGGACAGGTGAGCCCAGGCTCGACTGGTGGCCCCAAGGGGCGCCCATGCCTGCTGTGATGATAGCAGCACTCAGGTCTCTCTGTAGCTCCCAGAGTGCGGCCACTAAGACACTGGGTTGGCCTGGGTGGAATGGAGGCAGGATGGGGCCCCCCAAACTCCTGTCACTGCTTCAGTGACTGCCCAGAGCAGCCGCAAGTGGGGCTGGCAGGGATGAGGAGGAGGTGGCCTGGGTTTGGGGGACCGTGTACATTCTGAGTTGGAACCCAGGGGAGCAGCAGATTTGGGGCTGTGATGAGGAGAGACCTACGGGTTGCCCGATGGAGAGAAAAGGGACAGGAAGAGGCAGGAGCTTCAGAGACTACTCCATGCCACTCTAGCCTGAGGGACTGGAACTTAGTCCTGGGGCACTAGGGAGCCACGGGAGGGTTGGGAGCAGGGGGCGAAGCAAGATCAAACTCCCGTGAGAAGCCAGCCGGCCAAATCCAGGCTGATGTGGCAAGAACGGCAGCTGTCCAGGGCCGTGTGGGAGTCAGACACAGCCGCTTGCTTCCCGGAAAAGGCCACGCGAAGCCGAGGCAGGATGCAGGAGGGCGTCCCAGGCAGAGTCCAGCTCAGTGTGGCTGGAGCATCATGTGCGATTTGGGGTGCTGAGGTGGGCGGTCGGCCATGCAGGGCCTTGGCGTCAGGGCCAGGGTCTAGCCCGTCCCCAGGGTTCGGGGAGCCATGCAGGGGTACTGAGCAGGGGAGGGGCAGGTTGGCTCTGGGGCCCTGTGGGGACAGACTGGAGGGCAAGCCTGGGGATAGGAGGCTGGGACAAAGGCCAGGGAAGAGAACCAGGCAGCCTGGGCCAGCGATGAGCCGTGTGAAGGAAGGGAGGCATTGACACCCTCCGACCCACCCACTAGCCGCTTTGATGTCAGCCGCCTCGTTCCCCAACCCACACCTCCAATCCATAAAACAGGTCGGAGCCGAGCTGCTCAGGTCCCAGCGGGGGTGGCAAACAGGTTGTGAGGATCCAGAGGTCCTGGAGCACAGGTGGGGCCAGGCAGGCCCCGACCCTTGGTGGCTGCTCCGAGGACACCATTCCCCTGCTTCTCCTTCCAGGAGTGCGCAGGGCAGCTGGTCCTTTTCCGTCCCTCCCCGTGAAGGAGGGAGGCTGGTAGCTTTGCCAGCAGCTGCGCAGCAGCAGGGGTGGCCCATGGACCTGCCCGAGGGCCCGGTGGGTGGTCCCACTGCGGAAAGTAAGTGACTGGGACCCTGTTTGCCCCAGGGAGGGTGAGGAGGGAGCCATGGGTGAATGGGCACCAGGCTGTGACTCGGGGACTTGGGAGAGGTGACTGAGGGTAGCTGAGCCTTTGCATGAGTGCAGGGTGGAAGGGAGGGAAGGGACTCTGGTGGATTAAGTGCCTACTGTATGCCCGCCCACCTGTCTGTACCCCTTATCTCCTGTGGGGAGGCTGGACTGTGTGAGAGCACAAGCAGCCGCACCCCTTACTCCTCTCAGATCACTGCCCAGATGGTACTTCTTACTTATGTAAAGCAGTTGCCCTGTGACACTCTCTCCCCTGCCCTGCTTCACTTCTCATAGTGCTCACATCTGTCATGTTTTGTCTCTGCCTCCCCCACTAGAGCATGAGCTCCACAAGGCAGCATCTGTTTTATTCACTCTAGTATTCCCAGTCCCTAGAGCAGCGCTGTCCTGTGGAAGTACAATATGAGCCACGTATGTAATTTAATAGTTTTTAAAAGAAAAAAGGAACAGGTGAAATGAATGCTAATAATAGATTTTCCTTATATACCCAGAGTAATACCCTCTATATTATATATATACAGGTATATTATATATATAAAATATATCCAGTCTATAGCCAATATAAAAATGTATTCAGATATTCTCTTTTTTTCATATTAAGTCCTCAAGATCTAGCGTGTACTTTACACTAACAGAGCATTTCAATCCACAGTCGCCTCAGCTGAGGTGCTCCGGAAGGAGAGACTGCCCTATTGGTTGGGACCCCAGAGCAACTCCTGACTCATTGTAGGCGCTCAGTTACTGTTGAATGAACGGATGGATACAGGCTGAATGGGTGTGAAAGGCGGCTTCAGGGGGTGGGGAGGAGGCACTGGCGTTGCCTCTCTGAAACTCATCTGCCAAGTGAGAGAACCCAGTCTGATGGGGATGGCAGGGCCCCTTTCTTAGAGGCTCCCAGGCATCCACAGCACAGCCTGCGTCTTTTTCTACGAAGCCCCAGGCCTCAGGAAGCTTTCCCGATAGGAGGGTCAGAGGCAGACACCAGGGTGTGGGAACCAGAGGACAGGCCATCTAAACTTCACCTGCACCAGCAGAGGGCGTGCAGCCACCGGGATCTGGGTGGCAAGGGCTGAGCCAGCTTCCAGAGTCTCCGGAAGGAAAGGTAGGAACACACCCAGAAGGAGAGGTGGAGACAGAGGAAGGCAGAGGGAAAAAGAAAGAGCAGAGGAAGGAAATAGAAGGCTTAGGGAATGGAGAGTGGCTGAGATATGGGAAGGGAAGCACAGAGACTGAGATACAGGAAAGAAAATGGGGACAAGGGACATGGAGGCACAGAGACAGGACATGGGGAAGAGAGACTGGGAGAAAGATAGAAAGAGCCAAAGAGAAATGTAAAGAAGAGGCAAGGACAGAGACATAGAGGAGAGAGAGAGACACAGAGGAAGGAGATCTTTCTCAGGAACAGGAATGACATCTCCCTGGGGGAATCCTGGGATGCGACTTCAGACACATGCTGATCCTCAGAGCCAGCACGACCTGACGCCAGTCCTGAGTTCTATTCCCAGCTTCGCTCGCTCTGGCAAGCCCCCCTGGGTGAACGATCTCATTGGGCCTCACGATCCTTGTTCATGTAACATGAGAACGACAGTGAGGGGGCTGGGTATGGTGGCTCACGCCTGTAATCCCAGCACTTTGGGAGGCCAAGGTGGGCGGATCACTTGAGGTCAGGAGTTCAAGACCAGCCTTGCCAAAAGGGTGAAACCCCATCTCTACTAAAAATACAAAAATTAGCTGGGCCTGGTGGCAGGCACTTGCAATCCCAGCTACTCGGGAGGCTGAGGCAGGAGAATTGGTTGAACCCCAGAGGCAGAAGTTTCAGTGAGCGGAGATTTCGCTACTGCACTCCAGCCTGGGTACCACAGCAAGACTCCATCTCAGAAAAAAAGACAGCGAGAGGAGGAAAACAGACTGGGGCTAAAGCCCTGGTCTTCCCTAACTGTGAGTTCACACGCCCCTTCCCAAGGGCCAAACCTAGGAGCGTGGGTTCAAGCCAGAGGGAATGTAAATGTCATGTACTGCGAAGAACCCAGGAAGAGCTAGAGGGATGAGAAAGTTGACTCATATGTTAAACAGGGTGACCTTTGCTGAGTTCTTAGTTTCTCTATGCTTTGGTCCCCTCATTTGTAAAGTAGGGATTATAATAGCATCGATTATTAATATGCTACTAGACAGTTCATGTAAAGTGCCCAGAAAAGGCCAGGCACCTACTAAATGCTCAATAAGTGTTCAATTCTATTCTTGAGTCCCCACCACATGCCAGGCCCTCTGCCAAAGCCCTTCTAGATTTTATCTCATTTTCTCTCTAGGAAAGAGGTAACACCAACCCCATTTTCCAGAGGAAGAAACCGAGGCCCAAGAGAAGTTGAGTCCATTGCCCCAAGTGCCGCCACTTGTCTGAGGCCAAGCCTTAGTTACCCCTTGGATCTACCCAGTCCTGCAGCCTGTGCTCAGTGAGCTGCTGCACCCAGCTGTTCAAGGCCAGGGCAGGGAGCCTAGAAGGTCACTTCCAGCCCTGGGAGGGAGGCTGGGCCAGTCCCAGTGGCTTCTGCAGTTGAGGATCTCTTCCTATGTCATGGAGCATTTGTTGAGCACCCACTATGTGCAGGTGTTGTGGCTACAACAGTAGACAAATAAACCCCAGGACGTGTGTGTGTGTATGTGTGTACACATGTGTGCTTCACATACACAGAGCTAACTCAGCCCTGGTGAGGAGGATCACTCTACCCACCCACCCCCCATTTTACCAGTAGGGAAACTGAGGTTCTGAGAGAACAGACTTGCCCACAGATGTGCAGCTGGACTCTGCACCCAGGTCTATGTGACACACGCATATGGTTTGATCCAGCTCATAGCCATTCCCTCACTGCCCACCCTGCCTGGTTTACCCCATCCCTTCATGTCTCAGCCCCCGGCCATGGGCTCCAATGATGCCAGCCTCGCCTTAGGGATGCAGGGAGGAGAGAGACCTGGTCCCCAGGGTGGGCTGGGAGACCGGAGATGCAGCAGGCGGGATCGATCTGGGCTGCCCACGCATTATTGGATTGTTCCTGGCTCCTGGGCCCCCCTTCACTCTCAGCTCCTCCCAGAATCCTCTCTTCTTTGCCCTCCCCCGCCCTGTCCTTTTCTGAGTCCAGCCTGGGAGGCTGGAGAGGAGAGGAGGAAAGGGTGATCTCAGAGTGTCCTTCTCTGGGCTCCTAAGCCAATTGGACACAAAAAGACAGCCGGGGGGACTTCCTGGTCTGAAAGATGGGGGGAAGAAACTCAGAGACCCTTACGTTGTTGCCCCCTCCTGAAGCTTCCTGCTGTTCCCCGCTGGCCCTAACTCTAGGTGCTCTGAGTGAATTCCCTCCCCTCTGCAGAGCCCAGGAGGCTGAGGACCTGGGGTCACCCCTCTTCCTTCCTCATTCTTCTCACTGATGAGCTGAACCCTCTTGTCTCCCCAGTGTACCTCTGGGAGCAGCCTGAGGAGACAAGGCTGGGGATGCCGGTCAGCTTGGAGGAGCAAATACTCAACTCCACATTCGAAGCTTGTGACCCTCAGAGGACAGGTGGTGGGGCAGGAGGGGTGCTAGGGACCAGCGCGGGCGGGAGAGGGGTGGAGGCTGGGAACTGGGGAGCCTCAGGGAGAAGACTGGGCTAGGGCCCCTCTTGGGGGTATTGCAGGAACAAAGTAGGTGATTTTGGGAAGCTTCAGGAAGAAGAAAGTGGATAACAGAGTGAAGGCCTTTTAGAATGAGGAAAACCTGGGGGACATTGATGGAAGAGGGTAGAGTTTTGGGGTCGTGGGATGGGGGAGGGAGGCAGCCACCATGGTGGAGTGGGGCATGGCTGGTGCTGTCCCCATGTCCATCCCCTTTGGTTCACCTTGTGATAGGGGGATGACTGGGCCCCATTTCCAGGTGAAAAAGTAGACTCAGAGGAGGGGAAAGGGCTTGCCCAGTGTGTCTCCACTGGGCTATGGAGCAGGAGTGCCACCAGCCTAGCCAGTGACATCCTGCTCCCAAGCTGCTGCCAGTCCATACCCACCACTCCCCACTTGCCCCAGACCCCCTCACTGCATGCTCTGTCCCAGGCACTGTGGCTGTGACCCAGGTGCTGGCCTACCTGGAGGCGGTGACAGGCCAGGGCCCCCAGGATGCACGCCTCCAAACATTGGCCAACAGCCTGGACCCCAATGGGGAGGGCCCTAACGCCACTGTGGACTTGGACACTTTCCTGGTTGTCATGCGTGATTGGATTGCTGCCTGTCAACTACACGGGTGAGTCCCCACACCTTCATTCTCCTCTGGGAAGTCCTTCCTAAGATCTAACCTCATACCTGCTTACTGGAGCCAGCATCCTTTAGGCCCAAGGACCTACTGTGTTTGGAACGAGGCTGTGGAGAGAAAAATGAAGAGATGGGATTCAGAGGGGGTAGATAGGGAGTCTGAGGACAAAATAATTTGGATGAGGAGGCAGAGGGGGTCTGGGAGACAAATAAAATGGGGCTGGAGAAGGGAGGGGCTTGGGGCTGGCAGAGGTCCCTCGCCATCCCTTCACCCAACCCACTCCTTGCCCCTCCTGCTTTTCCATCTGGCCGCAGGCACTTGCCATCTGGCCTCACCCTCCTACCCTGTGGTGCCAGCTTTCACCTGACCCGGTCCCCTCCTCCCACCTGCAATCCCCCTGCCTGTGGCTGGTGAGGACTGAGGGGCGGCTACAGTGGGGCTCTAAGCCTCATCCCTTTGATACAGGGGATTAGAGCTGGAAGAGGAGACCGCCTTCGAGGGAGCCCTGACCTCCCAGCAACTGCCATCTGGTGAGATTGCTATATATAGAATGAAGCAGGCAGGCCCTGGGTCAGACAGTGTGGGAACTTACCACTCAGGGCAGAGCAAGGGATAGGGTGGGAACCAGGGACCTTTACTGTAGCCTAGAGCTGTGAGTGTGACTTTCTAGGTCCTCCGTCCCTTCCTTCCCTGAGCTTTGGGGTTTTTTTCTTCAGAGGATGGTTTCCAACTCTTCCTCCTCACACCAGCCCTATCAGAGAGGCCTACAAGGCCCCACCTACCTCTGCTCCATCATCATTAACATCACCCCTTCCTCACTCTAGTCCAGGCATTCGCAGGCCCACTGGTCTTGCTGCCCTTCCTCGAATGTGCCCCACTTCTGCCCAGCACAGGCCCTTGCTCAGGCTGTTCCCCTCCATTCCTCACTCCCCAACCCCCTAGCCTTTTTTTTTTTTTTTTTTTTGAGATAGAGTTTCGCTCTTGTTGCCCAGGCTGGAGTGCAATGACGCGATCTCAGCTCACCGCCCCCTCCGCCTCCTGGGTTCAAGCGATTCTCCTGCCTCAGCCTTCCGAGTAGCTAGGATTACAGGCATGCGCCACCACGCCCAGCTAATTTTGTATTTTTCATAGAGACGAGGTTTCTCCATGTTGGTCAGGCTGGTCTCGAACTCCCAACCTCAGGTGATCCACCTGCCTCAGCCTCCCAAAGTGCTGGGATTACAGGCGTGAGCCACCGCTCCAGGCCGTTATCCTTCACACCTCTGGCAAAGGGGAAGCCCTGGTATGCCCCTGGCTAGAGTTCCCTGCTTCCCATGCTCACTCCTAGACTTGTAGGCCTTTCCATTGGAACATCTACCTGCAAAGGAAATCTGATTATCTAGTTAGCCACCGGTGCCTGGGTTTAGTTGGCTGGTTTGCTCACCATTATATCCCCAGGACCTCACACATAGGAGGTGCTTCATAAAAAAGTGGTCATGGACCGGGTGCAGTGGCTCACTCCTGTAATCCCAGCACTTTGGGAGGCCGAGGCGGGCAGATCACGAGGTCAGGAGATTGAGACCATCCTGGCTAACATGGTGAAACCCCGTCTCTACTAAAAATACAAAAAATTAGCCAGGTGAGGTGGCGGGGCCTGTAGTCCCAGCTTCTCGGGAGGCTTCTCGGGAGACTGGCATGAACCCAGGAGGCGGAGCTTACAGTGAGCCGAGATCACGCCACCGCACTCCAGCCTGGGCGACAGAGCAAGACCCCGTCTCAAAAAAAAAAAAAAAAAAAAAAAAAAAGTGGTCATGATTACAGCCGTGAGCCTGTAATCCCAGCATTGTGGAAGTCCAAGGTGGGAAGAACATTTGAGCCCAGTAGTTTGAGACCAGCCTGGGCAACATAGTGAGACACCATCTCTACTAAAAATAAAAAATTAGCTGAGTGTGGTGGCATGTACCTGTGGTCCCAGCCGGGACACTGAGACAGGAGGATCACTTGAGCCTGAGAGGTTAAAGCTGCAGTGAGCCGTGATTACACCACTGCACTCCAGCCTGGGCAATAGAGCAGGATCCTGTCTTTTAAAAAAAAAAGGTGGTCATGTTCCATTTCTCTAGCCATACAAAAAACGGTGGGGAGGGAAGGAAGTTCTCTTCAACCTCCTTCATCAGGCTTAGGGGCCCAGGGAGGGCTGCGAGCAGAGGAGGGACTAGAGGCCAGGAGGCCAGAGAAGAGGTTGTGGTGAGGGTCCAAGAGGAGAAAGCAAGGGCCGGGGTGTGGAGACAGAGAGGACGGGTGGAGCAGAGAGTCAGGGGCAGGAGGAAGAAGCCTGCGCTCTGCTGGACTGGGGGTGACAGGGAGCAAGGGAGCCAGGTCCGCCCAGTGGCTGGGTGGTTGGTGGGGGATCTGGGAAGGGGAAGGTGAAGTGCTGACCAGTGTTGGGTGTAAAGAATGTGGGGGGTTGGGGTTATCTGGGAGATCCAGCCTGAGCTCAAGGTAGAAGACAAGGAAGAGGGCTTTACAGTGGGTATAACTGCAGCCCCAAAAGCCCATGAGATCCTCCAGAGCACAGACGAGGGTGGAGCCAGACAGAGACCAATCTCATAGCCCTGGGGCACCTTACATTTAAGGGTAACAGGGAAGCCAACACCCTCTTGTCTGTCTCCCTCCAGGATGCCCAGAAGCTGAGGAGCCAGCCAACTTGGAGAGCTTCAGCGACGAAGACCCCAGACCTGAGCTGTACCTATCCTCACAGCCCTCCCTGACCCTCCTGCCCACGCCCTGTCCCCTCCAGCCTGCCGAGGCCTGGGTAGGGCTTGGCATCCTTCAGGGAAATGAGTGAGGGACGGAGTTTTGCCGAAAATTCAGGGAGAGCAGAGGAGTCTCTCTCCTGTTTCTCTCTCCCTAAAAGAGCCACATCTCCCCACCACCAGCACCTACCTCAACCTGGGGAAATGAGGCAGGGGCTGTGGACAGTGACCTGAACCCCTTCCTTGCCCCTAGGCAAGCCACAGCTGACCTGCTGAGCAGCCTGGAGGACCTGGAGCTCAGCAACCAACGTCTGGCTGGGGAGAATGCCAAACTCCAGCGGAGCGTGGAGACAGCTGAGGAGGGGTCGGCACGCCTTGGGGAGGAGATCTTGGCTCTGCGCAAGCAGCTTCGCAGGTGGGCTCGACCCCACATCCACCCTCCCCAGCGCCCCTGCCTCCATCCTGCCTGCAGCACCTGGCCTCTATCTCCCATGCTCGCTGTCTGCATCCTGCTCCGTCTTTGACTCTGTACCTGTCCTTTCTTTTCCCTTTTCTGTTTTTCATCTTTTGTGTCTCTCTGGTTCTTATCTCTCAGCCTGTTTTGGTCTTTTTATCTTTCCCTGGAGGAGGGTTCAGACTTCTCTCTCTCTCTCTTTTTTTTTTTTTTTTTTTTGAGACAGAGTCTCACTCTGTCACCCAGGCTGGAGAGCAGTGGGCGTGATCACAGCTCACTGTAACCTCTGCCTCTGGGCTCAAGCGATCCTCCCACCTCAGCCTCCCAAGTAGCCACAGGCCCACCACACTGCCTGGCTAATTTTGTTTTATTTTTTATAGAAATGAGGTCTCACTGTGTTGCCCATGCTGGTCTCAAACTCCTGGGCTCAAGCCATCCTCCCGCCTTATCATCCCAAAGTGCTGGGAGTACAGGCCTGAGCCACTGCACCCAGGCCAGATTTCTCTCTTTATTCTTTTCCTCTCTCTGATTCTTCATGTCATTTGCCCTTTCGTCTCTCTGTGCTTTGTCGTTCTTCATGTTTATCATGGTCTCCCTGTTCTGGTCCCCCACTCTCTCTAGGTCTCTTTCCCACCTCCTCCTCTTTTAGGTTAAAACTGGGTCTCTGTGCCCCCACCAGGTCTCTTTCTCCTCCCCTCTCTCTGGGTCTCTGTCCCTGCCCACCACCTGGGATCTCTCTGTTGTTAGTGTCTCTCAGAATGGATCTGTCTCTGTGCTTCTCTGCCTTCCTCTCTCTCATATGGCTCATCCACCCCCACCCCCATTCAGTACCCAGCAGGCTCTGCAGTTTGCCAAGGCCGTGGATGAGGAGCTGGAGGACCTAAAGACTCTGGCCAGGAGCCTGGAGGAACAGAATCGCAGCCTTCTGGCCCAAGCCCGGCAGGCGGTGGGTCTGACCCAGGGGAAAGAAGGTGCCCTCTCTCTTTGTTTCCTGGAGTCAGAGCGGCAGTGTGACTATGGAGTAGGAGGGGGCAGAGGCCACCTGGCTTTCTCCCTCTCTCCAGGCCCTGCTCACCCTAGACTTTTTCAATCTTACCTGCCATCCTTCTCATGACAAAGGAGACAGCAGGAGCCATTAGGGCTTCCCAGACCCATTACCCCAACCCTGTCCTTCAATGACCCAGGCCCTGGTTGTGTTCTCAGGGGTGGGAGAAGGGCAACATGGGGGCAAGGAGGCTGGAAATGAAGCCTTTGTCCTCTCTCTGGGGTTGGTCAGGAAAAGGAGCAGCAGCATCTGGTGGCTGAGATGGAGACTCTGCAGGAGGAGGTGAGTGGAGGCCCAGCACCCACCCCCACCCCTTCCCTAGTCCTTAGGGTCTTCTTGACACCTCTCCCTTCTGCCCCCAACACCCCAGCAGCCTGCCACCAAACAACCTTCAGCCGGCTTGGGGAGACCTCAGAATGTCAGTAGTGTGGGAATGTCCCTGAGGTTACACCACACTGTGAGAACTACCATGCTTGACGAGAGTGTGGGGCATGGGGTCAGCCTACACGGGTTCAGGCTGAGGCCACCTACATAAGCCTGGACCAGTCCCTCCCTTCTCTGTGCCTCGGTTGCCTTGCCTATAAAGATGAACAAAACAATGGCATCTGTCTCATTGGGTTGTGTGAGACTTCAACTAGAGGATACTTGTAAAGTCTTGGGCACGAGGTAGGACCCATAGGATGTGCTCACTAACAGCTCGCCAGGCGCGGTGGCTCAAGCCTGTAATCCCAGCACTTTGGGAGGCCGAGACGGGCGGATCATAAGGTCAGGAGATCGAGACCATCCTGGCTAACACGGTGAAACCCCGTCTCTACTAAAAAATACAAAAAACTAGCCGGGCGAGGTGGCAGGCGCCTGTAGTCCCACCTACTCGGGAGGCTGAGGCAGGAGAATGGCGGGAACCCGGGAGGCGGAGCTTGCAGTGAGCTGAGATCCGGCCACAGCACTCCAGCCTGGGCGACAGAGCGAGACTCCATCTCAAAAAAAAAAAACAAAAAAACAAAAACAGTTAGCTCGCATTGTTTCTATATTCGTATTTTTTTACAGTGAATAAAACAGCCAGGCACAGTGACTGATGCCTGGAATCCCAGCACTTTGGAAGGACTAGGTGGGTGGACCCCTTTAGCCTAGGAGTTCAAGACCATCCCAGGCAACATGGCAAAACCTCGTCTCTACAAAAAATAGAAAAATAAGCCAGGCATGGTAGTGTGCACCTGTAGTCCAGCCACTCAGGAGGCTGAGGTGGGAAGACTGCACGAGCCCGGGAGACAGGTTGTGGTGAGCCAAGATTGCATCACTGCATTCCAGCCTGGGTGACAGAACGAGAGCCTCTCAAAAAAAAAAAAAAAAAAAAAAATTGATTTGAAGTCAACCTTGAGTTCAAATCTCATCTTTGCCATTTACACAATAGGCAACCTTTAAGCATGTGACTTCTCCTTCTCAAGCCTTTACTTTTTTTTTTTTTTTTTTTTTTTTGAGACGGAGTCTCGCTCTGTCGCCCGGGCTGGAGTGTAGTGGCCGGATCTCAGCTCACTGCAAGCTCTGCCTCCCGGGTTTATGCCATTCTCCTGCCTCAGCCTCCCGAGTAGCTGGGACTACAGGTGCCCGCCACCTCACCCGGCTAGTTTTTTGTGTTTTTTAGTAGAGACGGGGTTTCACCAGGTTAGCCAGGATGGTCTCGATCTCCTGACCTCGTGATCCGCCCGTCTCGGCCTCCCAAAGTGCTGGGATTACAGGCTTGAGCCACCGCGCCCGGCCTCAAGCCTTTACTTTTACTTTCTTTTCTTTTTTGAGACAGAGTTTCATTCTTGTTGCCCAGGCTGAAGCACAATGGCGTGATCTCAGCTCATCTCAAGGTTCAAGTGATCTCAGCTCACCTCCCGGTTCAAGTGATTCTCCTGCCTCAGCCTCCCGAGTAGCTGGGATTACAGACATGTGCCACCACGCCTGGCTAATTTTGTTTTTTTTATTGTTGTTGTTGTTGTTTCAGTCGAGACGGGGTTTTTCCATGTTGGTCAGGCTGGTCTCGAACTCTCGACCTCAGGTGATCTGCCCACCTCAGCCTCCCAAAATGCTGGGATTACAGACGTGAGCCACTGCACCCGGCCTACTTTTATTTTCTAAGAACTGGAAGAAGGGTATCTGTTCAGTAGGCTTGTTCTGGGGATTGACAGCATTTCACTGAGGGACTAGCAAACAATATGAAGAGACCCAGTTCAGCTTCACATTTAATTCAAGCCCCGTTCCATCTGAGACAGAAAAACATCATCTTAGTTCATTCGGGGCCCACCTAAGTTTTTTTAGATTGAAACAAACTCATCAATTGACAATGAAACCTGTCACCACCCCCCACCTCAAGGTGGTACCTAAGTTGCAGGAGACTGACGAAGGAGCCAAGTGCGCTAGGAAGCTGCTGGTCCTCACTCAATGTTTCTTCTCTCTGCTGTTCATGAGATTGATGGTTTTTGTACAAACGTTTGTCACCACTGTGTGCTGGCATCCAGTGCGAGGCCCACATTACCTTTGGATCTCTGGGCATACCATCCTCTTCATCTTCTGGTAGTGATCTCTCATCCGGGCTGGGACTCTCACTCCACCACTTCCACACCCTTCCAGAGCCACGGAGGTGGTTTAGCTGCTTTCCTGTGAAAGGGAAGAGGCTGGGGTCGCTGTCCACAGCCTCTGCCTCATTTCCCCAGGTCGGGGTGGGTGCTCATGGTGGGGAGATGTGGCTTCTCTGGGGCAAGAGAAACAGAAGAGAGACTCCTCTGGTGTCCCTGAGCTGTTAGCAAAGTCGCTGTCCCTCGCTCATTTTCCTGAAGGATCCCAAACCCCACCCAGCCTTGACAAACCGGAGAGCACAGGGCTGGGGTGGGCAGAGGTCTGGAGACAACCCACCAGTGAGGCCTCTGCTTTCACAAGAAAGTAGCATCTCTATTATTCTCACACCGTGATGACTCTGAGAGTGCTCTGGGAAGTGCACGCAAGGCCTGTCAGATCCCAAGACGTCCAGGGCTCTGTGGTTCTCCATCCATTCCCTCCACCCCTCATCGCTAGCCCTGGGTTAGGGGAAAACTCCGGGCTTGTTTTCAGCCTATTCTCTTCTCTGACTGTCCTGCATGCCACCCCCAGCTCTAAGGATCTCTGCCTAGTCCAGGTAGATCATGTATTCCCCCAAAAAAAATTTGTCCTACATGTACGGTATGTTTTTTACACTGAAATCCAAACACTTTTTGCTATTTTCTGGCTCTTCCATGAAAACTCACCCCCTTGAGGCAATGGGAACCTCACAGCAGGATGACTGTACCGTGTGAGACATGGAGTGCAGGCAGGATGTGACAGTTTATTTCAGAACATCTCTTTTTAAGAATGAAAAACTTGCCAGCCACGGTGGCTCACACCTGTAATCCCAGCACTTTGGGAGGCCGAGGTGGGTGGATCACCTGAGATCAGGAGTTCGAGACCAGCCTGGCCAACATGGTGAAACCCCGTCTCTACTAAAATACAAAAATCAGCCGGGTGTGGTGGTGCACACCTGTAATCCCAGCTACTCGGGAGGCTGAGGCAGGAGAACCGCTTGAACCCGGGAGGCAGAGGTTGCAGTGAGCCAAGATTGCACCAGTGCACTCCAGCCTGGGTGACAGAGCAAGACTCCATCTCAAAAAAAAAAAACTTTCTGGCTCAGCATGGTGGCTCACACCTGTAATCCCAACACTTTGGGAGGCCAAAGCAAGACTGCTTAGGCCAGAAGTTTGAGACCAACCTAGGCAACATAGTGAGAGCCCGTCTCTACAAAATAAAAAAACAAAAAAAGTAAATAGAAGAATGAAAGGCCAGGCACGGTGGCTCACGCTTGTAATCCCAGCACTTTGGGAGGCCGAGATGGGTGGATCATTTGAGGTCAGGAGTTCGAAACCAGCCTGACCAACATGCTGAAACCCCGCCTCTACTAAAAATATAAAAATTAGCCAGGCATAGGGGCAGGCATCTGTAGTCCCAGCTACTTGAGAGGCTGAGGCAGGGAAATCGCTTGAACCCGGGAGGCAGAGGTTGCAGTGAGCTGAGATTGTGCCTCACTGTACTGTAGCCTGGGTGACAGAGCGAGATCCTGTCTCAAAAAAAAGAATGAAAAACTTTCCCTGAAGCCACCTGGCAGAACTTCCTGCATTACAGTTCACTGCCATTCAACCATTATAACCAGACTACATGGGTTATATGGCCACTGACAGGTCCAGAACGTTTTTGGCTCCAGGGAACAAAGAAATGATGGCTTCAATCTGCAGGACACTCATTTCCTTAACCAGAGGTTTAGAAGAAGGTGTTCTCTGGGAAGAAGGTGGTCTCTGAGTGGTTTGGTGGCTCCCTGGCTGCCTGTGGCCTCATGATTGCAGATGACTGCAGCAGCTCCAATCTCATGTTCTCATTCAAAGTAGGAAAACGTGGTGCAAAGGGGAGCCAGGAAATGCCCCTCTCATGGCTCTTTACATCAGAAGCCTCTCACCCCACCCCCAGCAGCTCTTACATCTCACTGACCAGAACTGGATCACATAACACTCCCAGCTGCACAGGACCCCAGGAGGATATCTGACCTTTTTCAGCCTCTAGAGTGGCAGGTGAACAAGTGAGAAGGGGTGAGAATGACTGCTGGATTAGCTCACCAGCTGAGCTTCCTGCATCTGCCAAGATTTCCACCTTGACTCACTCCCATGGCTGGGGCTGGGACCTATCTGCCCTCAGACAGAGAGAGTAGATCCCTCAACAAAAGCAGAAGGAGTAAGCAGGGTAAATAGCAACCAGCAGTCTCATCTCTGCCTTCTCCCCACCAGGAAGGCTTGCTGCCAGGTCGAGTGCCTTGAGCAGCGTCTGGGACACCCTCGGCCCTCGATAAACTGGAGCTATTCTTGGTTCCCTCCCCTCTACCTTCCCCCTCCACACAGCTGCCTACAGAGCATCTATAGATTGAGTTCTCAAGTTACAGTAGAATAATGCTGGAGTAACAAGACACTCAGACACTGAAGATCCAGGCAGCCTTCCTATGGAGAACCTACAGAGCTGGCTCAGGTTACTGCAGAAGGAGGCAGGAGCAGCTGAGTAACCAGGTTCCCTGCCGAGTGGCCCAGGATCTGGCCTGCAAATCCCTACCAGGTGGACAGATGTTGACACAGCACTCCTTTCCTGTCCTTCCTCTGCCCTTCACCTGGCAGCCCAGGCCCACGGAGACTGAGAGGCAGAGCAGCTGATGGAGGACTTGGAGCTGGCTGGAGAGAGGGAGAGGCTGGCCGTGGTATATCCCCTGGTGTGCCAAGAGGAGGAGTGTGGTGAAAGGGAACTCTGGACTGCCTCCATGCCCCAAAGTGCATTTCCCCAGTGACCCCCTCGCCTTGAAACCCTGTGCAACTTGATAGGTTTTTGGTGCCCCTAAACTTTGGACTGGAATCTGGGCCATTTTTTGCACAGGTCCCATTTTATGGCTGGCATGGGTTGCCTTCTCCAGCCTATTGTTTTCCCAGCTAACTCCTCAGCCTTGAAGACTCAGCAGCACCTCCTCAGGAAGCCTGTTAGTGCTCCCGTGGTACCCAGGCCCTAGGCTTCATCGGAGCCCACCTTGTGCATTGTTACCTGCTTCTGCATCCATCTCCACCTCTAGAACCTAATTCCCTGTGTGTCCCATTCTCACCCAGGGCTGTGTCTGGCTCAGATGAGAGTCTGAGGATTATAAACACAGGATTTGGAATCACACAGATTTAGGTTTGAGTCCACTTACCATGTGACCTTGCCAAGTCTCAGCCTCTCTACTCCTCTTTAAAATTGGAAATGATTATACTATTAATAGTTAGGGCAACCAGACATGGCATTCCTCCTGAATGGCACAATTTGATATATATAGCACCACCCAATCTTGTTAGAAAATTGAACAAGAGTCTGGACAAGGCCCTGGACCTACCTACCAGTTTATAAGAAATAATGATAGAGGAAAGTGGTGAACATAACCACAGGGAACAAGAGCTCAATCAGCCTAATCTGAACGCACCAATCCTACGGGACAAGGGACCTGCTTTCTTCCACAGAATGAGGCCCTGAAGAGTACCAGGGTCGGGGTGGAGGGGGGAGAAATTACTGTCAGATTAGGAGAAGTAAGAGATTTCAACCAAAAGCAATGGTGGACCTTGTTTGGATCCTCAGTCAAAGTAAATGTAAAGAAATCTCTGTAAGACAACCAAAATGAACAAGGAGCACAGGCCGGGTCCAGTGGCTCACCCCTGTCATCCCAGCACTTTGGGAGACCAAGAAGGGCAAATTACCTGAGGTCAGAAGTTCAGGACCAGGCTGGCCAGCGTGGTGAAACCCCGTCTCTACTAAAAATACAAAAGTTAGCCAGGTGTGATGGCGTGCACCTGTAATCCCAGCTACTCAGGAGACTGAGGCAGGAGAATCACTTGAACCTGGGAGGCGGAGGTTGCAGTGATCATGCCATTGCACTCCAGCCTGGGCAACAAGAGTGAAACTCTGTCTCAAAAAAAAAAAAAGAAAAAGGGGGCACAAACTTTCTAGTATGAGATGATACTGAGTTATTGTTAATTTTGTTAAGTATGATCGTGGTATTGTGGTTTTGCTAAAGGAAATAAGTCCTCAAGTAGGGGAATAAATGCTGGAGTAACTACAGGTGAACTAATATGCCTGCAATTTGCTTTAAAGTAATCTACTTAAGACATCTAGAGGAGAGCCAGGTGCGGTGGCTCACACCTGTAATCCCAGCACTTTGGGAGGCGGAGGCGGGTGGATCGCCTGAGGTCAGGAGTTCAAGACCAGCCTGGCCAACATAGTGAAACCCCGTCTCTACTAAAACTACAAAACTAGCTGGGCGTGGTGGCACATACCTGTGATCCCAGCTACTCAGGAGGAAGAGGCAGGACAATCACTTGAAGCCGGGAGGCAGAGGTTGCAATGAGCCGAGATCGCACCATTGCATGCCAGCCTGGTCAACAAGAGCAAAACTCCGGCTCAAAAAAAAAAAAAAAACTCAGTTAACAAACATCTTAGTAAACAAAGCTGAGAAAATGCATATAATTATTGAAGCTGGGTGATAGATAATGTGGATAACAGGCTGCTTATGTTCTTTTGATTTTAAAATTGGGGATAAGAAATGAATCAACACATGCAAAATGCTCAGTAAGTGTTAGCGATTATTAACCTATCTACGGCCGGGCGCGGTGGCTCAAGCCTGTAATCCCAGCACTTTGGGAGGCCGAGGCGGGTGGATCACGAGGTCAGGAGATCGAGACTATCCTGGCTAACATGGTGAAACCCCGTCTCTACTAAAAATACAAAAAAAAAACTAGCCGGGCGTGGTGGCGGGCGCCTGTAGTCTCAGCTACTTGGGAGGCTGAGGCGGGAGAATGGCGTGAACCCGGGAGGCGGAGCTTGCAGTGAGCCGAGATCACGCCACTGCACTCCAGCCTGGGAGACACAGCGAGACTCCGTCTCAAAAAAAAAAAAATTAACCTATCTAATCCTCACAGCAATCCCATAAAGTAGTTCCTAGTTTAACTCCGTTTTTGTTATTGTTGTTTTCTCCTGAGACAGAGTCTCGCTCTGTTGCCCAGGCTGGAGTGCAGTGGTGCGATCTTGGCTCACTGCAACCTCTGCCTCCCCGGTTCAAGCAGTTCTCCTGCTTCAGCCTCCTGAGTAGCTGGGATTACAGTCTTGCGCTACCATGCCTGGCTAATTTTTGTGTTTTTGTATTTTTAGTAGAGACGGGGTTTCACCATGTTGGCCAGACTTGTCTGGAACTCCTGACCTCGTGATCCACCCGCCTCAGCCTCCCAAAGTGCTGGGATTACAGGCGTGAGCCACCGTGCCTGGCCTAGCTCCATTTTTATAGATGGGGGAGCCACACTCAGAGAAATTAAAGCTGAGGTCCCAACAGAATGGTGGGAGGAATTAAATGGGTTAAAACATGAAGTACTTAGCATGAGGCCTGATGCATATCAGTCAAGTGTTTAGCAAATGTCTGCTGTTAATTTTAACATCACCATTTGCTGAAGTGAATGTGACCCGCCATTCCTTCTTCTAGAATGGGAAACTGCTGGCCGAGCGGGATGGAGTGAAGAAGAGAAGTCAGGAACTGGCCATGGAGAAGGACACTTTGAAGGTGCCACTCCTTCCTAGTGCCTGACAACTTTCCACCACCCTGGGGCCATTTTTCCCATTTCCGGTTTTAGTGACTGCAGCCTGATGAGAGCAGGGTCTTCCATCAAACTGTCAGACTCCCAGGACCACCCAGGCATCCCTAAAATCCCTGAAGTCCCGGAACATCTCAGGAGGTTGAATCGGCGGGGTGCGGGAGAGCAGGGCAGGCCAGACGGAGGGCAGGACCGAGGGGAGTCCTGGGAGGTTGGATGGATGGACCGGCTCCTTTCTTGGCAGCGGCAGCTCTTTGAGTGTGAACACCTCATTTGCCAACGAGACACCATCCTCTCTGAGGTGAGGAGCCTGGGGAGGGAAAGAGATTTGCCTTCCGTGTGCGCCAGCCACTTCCTGCCCCTGGTCTAGAAAGGGAAGTCCTACTTGGGTCTGGTCCTTGGATGTGCAGGTGGAGAGATTGGAGGGATTCCCCACGTCCCAATGTGACCCCTCAGGGATCTAGAAGCCCTTCTGCCCGGTGCTCTCCCTTGGGCCCCAGCTCTTCTCTCAAGCTCACCCTTGTCCCTTAACCCCCCCAGCCAGTCCCCCCACCACCACCCCCCACTATGTCTTTGGGGAACTGGTCCCAGTCTCATTTGGCTTTCGGCTTTCCCAGCGCACTCGCCATGTGGAGAGCCTGGCCCAGACCTTGCAAGAATACAGAGTGACGACGCAGGTAACTCAGCGGCCCTGGCCACTTCTCTTTTGCCATCTCTGGGACTTGCTGCCTCTCCTCCTCATCGCTCTTTCTCTGTCAGTGGCCACATCTTGCTTCTTCTATCCATAATGTATGACTGTATGACTTACTGTGTGTCTCACCCTCTCTTTCTCTATCTGCCTTTTCACTTTTTTTCTGTTCCTTCCTTCCATTCACTTTCATTCTCTGTGGGTGTCTTCTCACATACCCCTATACCCCTCCTTATCTTTTTTTTTTTTTTTTTTTTGAGACAGAGTCTCGCTCTGTCACCAGGCTGGAGTGCAGTGACGCAATCTCGGCTCACTGCAACCTCTGCCTCCCAGGTTCAAGCGATTCTCCTGTCTCAGCCTCCCAGATAGCTGGGACTACAGGCGCACGCCATCATGCCCAACTGATTTTTGTATTTTTAGTAGAGATGGGGTTTCACCATGTTGGCCAGGATGGTCTCGATCTCTTGGCCTCATGATCCGCCCACCTCGGCCTCCCAAAGTGCTGGGATTACAGGCGTGAGCCACCGCGCCCAGCCTCCCCTCCTCATCTTTATGTGTCTCTGCCAGGCTCGTGTGGGTTCCTGTCTCTGCCTCTAGGTCTAGGCTGTCTGTCTCCCTAGGCAAGTCTTCTCTGTTTGGCTCTGGTCTTTACCAGTCTCTTAGCCCTGGTGTTTCCCTTGCCTGTCTGTGAGTCTGTTTCCATTTATGGCTTTCATTTTTTCATGCATCACTGCCTCTGCCTTCCTTCTCTTAATTTTCTTGGCTGTGCTTTTTGTTTTGTTTTGTTTTGTTTTGTTTTTCTTTTTTGAGACGGAGTCTGGTTGTGTCGCCCAGGCTGGAGTGCAGTGGCACAATCTTGGCTCACTGCAAGCTCCTCCTCCTGGGTTCAAGCGATTCTTCTGCCTCAGCCTCCCAAGTAGCTGGAACTACAAGTGCGTGCCACCACGCCTGGCTAATGTTTTGTATTTTTAGTAGAGACGGGGTTTCACCCTGTCAGCCAGGATGGTCTCGATCTCCTGACCTCGTGATCTGCCCTCCTGAAGTGCTGGGATTACCGGCATGAGCCACAGCTCCCGGCCTCTTGGCCTGTGCTTTAGCTTCTGGATTCCTGTTGCTCTCTGTCTCTCTTTGGCTTCCTAACATTCTGTCATGGCTTTCTGCCCTTTGTCCCCAGGCAGTGTGTGTCTGGGGAGGCCAAAGTAGTCAGGAAAGTGGAAAGAACCCTGGAAGAGGAGCCCAGGGATGGGAAAAATGGAGAGCCAGATGTGCCCCCCACTTCCTCCTTTGCAGGAACTGAGGCTGGAGATTTCACGCCTGGAGGAGCAGCTGAGTCAGACCTATGAGGGGCCCGATGAGTGAGTGGAACTTCATAGGGTAGGAGGAGGCAGGAGGGGAGCCTAAGAGCAGAGACACCCTGGTCTCCAGCCCCAAGGTGGGCAGGGAAGGGAGGCCAGCATGAGCCGACTGAGTGGCCCCCAGGCACAAAGGCCGCCTTCCTCCCTCCTCCCTGTGTGGCCAGGCTACCTGAAGGGGCCCAGCTGAGAAGAGTGGGCTGGACCCGGCTGCTGCCCCCATCGCTGGGCTTGGAGATCGAGGCCATTCGACAGGTGGGCCTAACACCCCTGGAATAAGCTGCAGGCCACCAAGGCAGGATCTCCAAACATCTCCCCACTCTGATCCTCACGCCAGCCTAGCCCTAACCCACATTGCTGCCAGAGGCTCCCATCGCAACCTTAGCTTTTCTCTAACTCTATCTCGGATCCTAACCCCAAACCCACTGCCAGCCCCAGGCCTATGCCAGACCCCAGTCCGATCCAGCTGTGACTCACCCCTATCTCGTCTCCCTCCATGACCATCTCACTCCTTAACTTCATCTCGAACCCAGACCTCGGTCCTGGCAGCAAACCCTCCCCTGTTCCTGCTTCTGCCCACTCCCCACACCAGCCCCACACCAGCTCTTTTCTACCTCTCATCCTATTTTCAGCCACACACCTAAACCCGTTTCTGTCTCTGACCTTGTCTTCTACCTTAACATGGCTCTCCCTGACCTCGGAAACACCTTCTGTCCCAGAAACAGGAAGTGGCAATTGCTGGTCTCTCCAACCCTCTGTGTGGGGTGTGGCAATGGGAGGAAGTCATCCATGATACCAGTGAGGATGCTGAGTTTCCGTCTGAAGCCCCAGCTGGGGGACAGGTGAGCACAGGAAAAGCTCTGAAGTCCAGGAGCTGGAAAGGGGCCCGGAGCGCCAGGTGCCGCCCTGGCCAGCCCATTCACTCACACCTTTGCTTGTTCCCCATTTGATGAGAAAATGTTAATTGAGAGCACACTGTGTGCTGGACACCCAGCCACAAGCCAGACCAGACACCACCCCTGCCCCAGGGACTGACCTGCCAGCGTTGGAGACAAAGGTGAACAAAGCAAACACACAAATTGCACTGTGGCTTTTCGTGTCGTTTTGTTGTTTTAGAAAACACGCTCAGGAATTGCGTGATTTAAAATTGTACTACCATAGGAAGGGAATAAGCAAGTTGTTTATGCTAACATTTTAAGGATATATTAAGCATTTATGTTTCAAATATAAGTACCTTTAAGAAAAACCAGCAAGCTCACTATGACATCTTTTTTTTTTTTTTTCTTTTTCTTTTTTTTGAGGCGGAGTCTCGCTCTGTCGCCCAGGCTGGAGTGCAGTGGCCGGATCTCAGCTCACTGCAAGCTCCGCCTCCCGGGTTCCGGCCATTCTCCTGCCTCAGCCTCCCGAGTAGCTGGGACTACAGGCGCCCGCCACCTCGCCCAGCTAGTTTTTTTTGTATTTTTTTAGTAGAGACGGGGTTTCACCGTGTTAGCCAGGATGGTCTCGATCTCCTGACCTCGTGATCCGCCCGTCTCGGCCTCCCAAAGTGCTTGGGATTACAGGCTTGAGCCACTGCGCCCGGCTACTATGACATCTTTAACTCAGCAATAACCATTGGGTTTTTTTGTTTGTTTTTTGTTTTTAGAGACAGGATCTTGTCTTATTCTGTTGCCCAGAGTGGAGTGAACTTGACTCACTACAGCCTCAACCTCCTGGACATAGGCAATCCTCCCACCTCAGCCTCCCGAGCCACTGGGACTACAGGCACCTGCCACCACACCCGGCTAATTTTTGTGTTTTTCAGTAGAGACAGGGTTTCACCATGTTGGTCAGGCTGATGTTGAACTCCTGGTCTCAGGTGATCTGCCTGCCTTGGCCTCCCAAAATGATGGATTACAGGCATGAGCCACTGCACCTGGCTTTTTTTTTTTTTTTTTGAGACAGAATCTCACTCTCTTCTCTGTTGCCCACGCTGGGGTGCAGTGGCATTATCACAGTTCACTGCAGCCTCAATCTCCCTGGACTCAGGTGATCCTCCCACCTCAGCTTCCCAAGTAGCTGGAACCACAGGCGTGTGCCACCATGCGTAGCTGATTTTTCTATTTTTTGTAGAAATGAGGTCTCCCTACGTTGCCCAGGCTGGCTGAACTCCTGGGCTCAAGTGATCCTCCTACCTCAGCTTCATGATTTTATGCCAAGGCCTTGCACAGGCTGTGCCAGTGCCTCGAAGAGTGCTGGGATTACAGGCATGAGTCACTGCTCTGGGCTCTCTCTCTCTCTCTCTTTTTTTTTTCTTTTAAATAAAATGTTGTAAACAGCTCTGTAAACGATGCTGTATTGTCTTGAGGACTGTACCACTTCAGAGCTCTTTGCCATCCTTCAGGAGAGACTCATTTCTCTGATCACTTTTTTCCTGGTTTGAGAAAAGCTTCTGTGTTTCTCGTGGACAGCAGAGCTTGTTTGGGTTCTCACTGAACTCTCCCGGTGTCTCTGTAAGGCAGGCATCCTCATCTTGTTACTCATGGGAAACTGAGGCTCAGGGAGAAATCACATGTCCATGGTCACACAGCTTGTTGGGGACAGAGCCTCATCCCTCAGACGTGTCAGTCAGATTGGGCTTCTGCTTTGAGCTCTCAGATGCCCCTGAGAGACAGGTTTGTCAAGGGGAAGACTGAGCCAGGCCTCAGGGTGCAACCTGTGATGGGCCCAGGCATACAGATCTGAGTCCCTTAGGGCCAGGCCTCTCAGTGCTCGAGGCCTGATAGGAGAGACCCTGCAAATGGGTTGGCCCAGTGCAGAATGATCATTGTGCTAGAGGTGGGGGATGGGCCTGTGGCAGCCCAGAGAAGGGGTATCTGTCAGGTCAGAGACTGGGGGAGATATTGAAGAGAAACTGATACTCAAGTGGAAAGAAGGAAGAAAGGAAAGGGAGGGGAAGGGAGGGGAGGGGAGGGAGGGGAGGGGAGGGAGGGGAGGGGAGGAAGGAAGAGGGGAGGGGAGGAGGGGGAGGGGGGGAGGGAGAGGGGAGGAGGGGGAGGGAGAGGGGAGAAGGGGGAGGGGAAGGGCAGGGGGAGGGAGATTAAGTGGTTGGAGGAAAGAGAGGCCTTCTAGGCACTGGCACAGCCTGTGCAAGGCCTTGGCATAAAATCATGATATGCTTGAGGAGTAGAGGGTAGCTGGGGGTGACTAGTGAGAGATGAGGCCAGGGCCAGATCATGGAAGGAAATCTCTGACAAGCTAACAGATTGTACTTTTCTTCGTAAAGCCACAGGAAGAGTGGGGTCAGCTCTGGGCATGAAAAGATCCCTCTGGGACCGTGTGAGGGACCTACTGGAGGCAGGGAGGAGGCTGGAGCAATGGTGATGAAGCCTGAGCCAGGCCAGAGCCCTAGGGATGGAGGAAAAGGGACAGACAGACATAACTGGGGTGGAGGGACAGAGCGGGGATCAGATGGGATGTGGGTGATAGGGAGGGAGGAGAGGAGGAAAGACTTGGAACTTGTGACCTCATGGGGTGAAATCTTGAGGGATGTCTGGGGGCTGCCTGGAAGCAGTTGGGTGCACCAGCCTGAAGCTCAAGGATTGCATTTAAAAAACAATGTCAAGTTGGTTGTTGAGGTCAAGGGCAATGCTGATATGTCTCTGGAGAAACCAAGAGGTACTTGGGTCCTGATGGGGAGCAGATGGACCCAGCCCAAGTCTGGGAACCTGGGATGAGAAGGCGGTTGGACAGGGAAATGCTGATCTCCTCTGGGACCCAGATAAGTGTACAAGATCTGTGGAACATTCAGGAAGTTTAGGCGACCGGGACTCCCGGGTCCTGTCAGGGGAGGGGGCTTGGTGGCATCGAGAACAACCCTTTGGTTTTTGGCTTCTGCCCTCAGGGGGATAGTAGGGCCATCCTCATGTAGGGGAGCACAAGAGGAGGGTAGGTTGTAGAAGGTGGTGAATTCATGTGCAGGTTGCAGCCTGGAAGACCTTTTGCATATGGGGTCTGGGACCAGCGGGGAGACAGTGGGCACTGTTAGGGTTGGAGCTTTGAGTGAGAAGAATCAGAGAAGAACTAACCTTTTTGTTTCCACAGAGAAACTTCCAGGGACAGCCAGCGCACCATGGAGAAGGAAGGAAGGAGCCATCCATGTGGTAAGGAGCTGAGCCATCCATCTGCCTCAGCGTGACACCCGATTCACAGATGTTTAGAGTAGGAGGACTGGGTGAGCCCTGAGGGGGTCGGCATGCCACTCATTCACTCATTCTTCACATCTTCCCAGAGCAGACCCTGGACCTGCAGGCCAGGAGATGAGACCTGGCCCTGCCCTCAGGTCTAGGAGGAGATCTGGTTCCTGACGCTGCCTCGGGGGGAAGGCTCTTAGCGAGGTCGAGGCAGGCCACCATGCCTGAATGGAGCCCTGTGGGAGTGGCGTTAGTATAGGAAACTCTTAGACAAGAAGACACAATTGTCAGGCAGAAGGGACAGCTCAGTCACATGGTCGTTCTCTCACTGAACACACCTTTCCCGAGGCTCCAGGGAACCTCTTTGGAGAGCTCCCAGTCAGCTGGGAGATCTTGGGGGTAAGGGGGGCCTCTGGAATCAGCGTGGATTCAGATTCCAGCTCAGGTACTTTGCAGTCAGGCTGGTGTGAGCATTTGGTCGTATGCTGTGAAGTCCCAGCCCTGTGATTGGGATGTGATTGTTAAGAGGCTGTGTCCAGGCCTCTGAGGATGGAGAAAGCACTAGATGACTGGGCCCACCCTCCTCCAGGGCCCTGGCCTTGGGGCCTCTGGTTTCCTGTGTTGCTTCCCTCTCCCCCTCCCCTCTTTCAGGCTCCCAGCTGCAGCTACTAATGAGGCTGCCTGCCAAGGCCTCTAATTGGACTTGTCTGGGAAAAGCTGAGATTGGGCGGGATGGGAGCTCTGGAGCTATGACCTCCCTTTGCGTCACCAGAGAAAGGAGGGGAGAAGGGGCTGAGCAGTAGTGGAAGTCGGGGAGGCAAGTGCCATGCGAGTTTCCGAGTTTCCAGAGGGCAGGGGCTGTTTGATCTGAAGGTTGGAAAGCTGGGAGTGAGGAAGCTGGTGAATACAATGGCCCCTAAAGGTAGCCAGTGGTGAGGACTTGGACCTTGAGAGGGGTTGGGTCCCAAGTAGAAGTTTCAGGGGATCAGACAGTGTATGTCTGACTGGGGCCTAAAAGCCTGGATCCCTTATTGCGTGGGAGCACAGCTGTATTCCTGAGGGTATCTCTGAGGGTTTTGGGTCTGAAGCTGGTGGTAGTGGCAACTGCAGGGCTGAATCTCTGCTCCCCAATGAAGGCAGTGGTTGGTGGTGTGGATGGCTGGGTCTCTAAGGGGCATTCAGGCTGGGCAGCTTGAGGCCTGAGTCCCCAAAGCAGCATTTCAGGGACTCAGAGGGCTATGACCCTAGGAGGGGCCTCCCTAGGAGCCTTCCCCCGAGGCAGGGTTGGGAGCCAGATGTCCTCCTAGACCAAGACTCTGAGACTCGCTGAGGGCAGGGCCAGGTCTCATCTCCCAGCCCATAGGCCCAGGGTCTGCTCCTTGGAAGATGTGAGTGAATGAGTGAATGAGTGAATGAGTGGCATGCTGACCCCTCAGTCCTCCTGGAAGAGGGGCTTGCACACCTGAGAGGACTGGGCATGGGGAAGAGCTCCAGCAGTTGGGTTCTGTGGGCTGGGAGGTCTGAGTTGGAGTCCCAGTCCTCAGACAGTACCCAGTGACAGCCATTGAAAAATGGCTCAACCCACTAGACAGGAAGGGCGTTTCAACACGTGCTCTGGGGCCTTACAGAGGCCTGAATCTCTGGTACTTTGGAGGGTGAGAAAGCTGGAAGCCTCAGTTCCCAGCTGGGGGATCCGCTGGGGAAGTAGTGGCTGAGAAAACCACTCTGAGATGAAGAGGCCCCCTTATTCTTTTAGTGGGCACAGACCCTTTGGATCATTTTTTGAAAATTCATGTGAAAAACACATATGCAGGACACCCCCCGGGCCCGTCCATGCTGCCTGGCCTCCCCCAGGCCCATCTGTGCTGCCTGGCCTCCCCCAGGCCCGTCCATGCTGCCTGGCCTCCCCCAGGCCTGTCCATGCTCCCGGGCCTGTGCTAAGACCCTGCTCCAAGGCTTCCCTCCCAGCCCATAGTAGGCAAAGGGAACCAGGGAGGAGAGGACGATGCCAGCAGTGACTTTGTTGGCCCTCAGGTTGACCGGAAGAGAGGAAGAGGAGGATGCAGAGAGCCAGGTCACGGTAGGCAGTCCGCAGCACCCCTCCCCAGTCCCCATCCACTCCAAGCCCGCAGAGGCTGAGTCGTTCATTTCAACTCTTCCCAAGCCCCAACCTCACACCCCAACTCCTCAGGAGCAGAGAGAAAAATCATTTGGCCAAGAGATAACAAGGCCCTTGCTGTAGCTAATGAGAGCTATGGCGAGGTAGGGGGAGGCCTGGAGGCTGGTGGGCGGCCAGGCTGCTCCCAGGGGAGCCCCCCAGCCACACACACAGGGCTGCAGCCACCACACTGCAGGCCTCGTAGACATGGCTGCACCCCCGGATTGCATAAATGCACACGCACATGTGCCCACACTCGGGAGAGGTTGGGCTGGCCCTCCCCAGCCAGCCTCAGAACTCCCTGGGGGCACAGTGCCCACAGCCCCCCTGCCTGCAGCCACACAGGCCAGCTCCTCTGCTCCTCAGAGCCCAGTGCCCGGTGGAGGTGAGGATTTCTGTTCTCAGGCAAGGACAGGGAAAGAAACTCGGTAAGGAGAGGTGAGGAGCCCTCGGTTCTGAGCTGAGGAAGGCAGGAGCTGGGCTGGAGTCTGCCTGTTGTGTGTCAGGCACTGCCAGGGCCCTTGGGGCTCTCCAGGGTCCAAACTGGCCAAGATGGCTGCCTCCAGGACGCTTAGCTCCCAGCGCCCTGGCCCCGAAGCCCACCTCCTCTCGACATACCACACTCCCTTGCAGAGACTGGGCTCCACCTCAGCTTCCTCACAGCTCACACGGGGATAATCTCTTCCTAGCTCCTAGGGTGGGGAGGAGGGTTAAGGACCACGTCATAAAGGGCCTGGGTCCCTGCCTGGCACAGCAGGTGGTAAAGGTGAACATATTGATTGTGATCGGTGTTCTGTTTTTATTTACTGCCATTATTATTGTCATTCATCATCCTCATCTGAGTCGAAAAGGTGTGGGGGTAGGAAGGCCAGAGACCCATAGAGGTGAGGCCCTTCCAGGGAGACATGGGGGATGAGGCGGCACAGTGAGTGGGGCCTAACCCTGGAGGGACAGCTGGGGCTTTGATCTTTGAATCTTCAGATGAGGTGTTGGAATTAATCAGTGAATTTAGCATAGTTGCTGGGTGAAAGGTCAAAATAAAAAATCAATCATATTTCAGTATAGCAACCATGAACAATGAGAACAATACATTTGTAATTATGCCATTTATAATGGCATGGTGTTTTTGTTTTGTTTTTGTTTTTGAGACGGAGTCTCGTTCTGTCGCCAGGCTGAAGTGCAGGGGCGTGATCTCAGCTCACTGCAACCTCAGCCTCCTGGGTTCAAGCGATTCTCATGCCTCAGCCTCCTGAGTAGCTCGGATTACAGGCACGTGCCACTACACCCAGCTAATTTTTGTATTTTTAGTAGAAACGTGGTTTTGCCATGTTGGCCAGGATGGTCTCCATATCCTGACCTTGTGATCCGCCCGCCTCAGCCTCCCAAGGTGCTGGGATTACAGGCGTGAGCCACCGCGCCTGGCCTATAATGGCGTGTTTTTAATTAGTAAAGCGTCTGCTGATTCTGGCATAGGCAGGAAGACAGGATTCTGCATGAGGCCAGCACAGGGGTGGGCACCTGTGGAAGATGTGGTCTCTGCCCTCGGAGAGCTTACATACTTCCAGAATCCAGTGGAAAATGGAGGTGATGATATTGAATAGCTCACACAGACACGGAGCACTCACTAGGTACCAGGCGCTGTCCAAGCTACTGCCCCCACCTTTTTTTCCCCCCACATTTACTCATTTAGTCACCATGTTAACCCTATGAGGTGGGGACATCCCTGGCCAGCAGATGCGGAAAGAGAGGCACGGAGAGGTGTGGTGACATGCCAAGGACCCTCAGCCAGAGGCTGGCAGAACTGGGAACCCAACCTGGCAGCGCATCTCAGAGAAGTGCACTCACTTAACTCCTGAGCTCCACCACCTTCTGTGTGGTCGCTTATGTCCAGTGGGCTGACCTGAGGACCTCTCAGTCCAGAACCCAGTGCTTCAAATGAATCTCTTTTGTCCTCCCAGGCTGATCTCCCTATGCCTCTAGGAGACCCTCGCCCTGGAGACATCCCAGAAAGCCCTCCAGAGAGGTAATAGGACCCACGGGGTCCGGGAGGGAAACTGGGGACAAGGAAAAACCCAGTGGTGATTCCCTCCTTTCCCCCAGCAGGCCTGCGCAGCAGGAACTCCAGCAAGCCTTGGTGCCTGTGATGAAAGAGCTGGTCCCAGTGAGGAGGAGGCCCTGGGGCCAGCTCTGCCTGCCCCCACAGCGGCTCAGGTGTGCCCCCAGGCATCTCCAGAAGGAAGAAGGTGGTCTGACCTTGGGAAGAGCAGGGGCTGCCCGGACCCTCCCCTAAACGCTCTCCCACCTCCCCACCAGGGTCACTCGACATCCACTGATCCCAGCTCCGGTCCTGGGCCTGCTGCTGCTGCTGCTGCTCTCTGTCCTGCTGCTGGGCCCGTCCCCACCTCCCACCTGGCCCCACCTCCAGCTCTGCTACCTCCAGCCCCCTCCAGTGTGAGAGGCTCCACTTGCCCCTCAGAGCAGCGTCTAGCTCAGTAAATCCCCCGGCCCTCTCTCCACTCAGATCCCCATTGTTAGTCCAGTGTTGCACCAGATACAGTACAGGGGATCCACATCCCTGTGTTGGGTTTTTATGTGAAGTCTGCTAGTTTTTTAATGTTGACATTTCTTAACAATAGCAAAACTCCCCAGTAATGGATTAAGCACTAAGGATTATTCCTTCACAAAACAAGCCTGGCAAGGGCAGCTGTGGGCACACAGCTAAGTCTCGTTGCCTCAGGGTCGGGGCCTCAGTGATTCTCCTGTCCCCTCCCTCATGCTCAGGAGTTGGCGATTGTAGCTTCCTACATCACATCTGCAGGAGACGGAAACTTTTCCCTTCCTTTTTATAAAGAGAGGCAGTAGCCTCCGTGTGCAGTGGGTACATAATAAAAGAGAAGCAATTGCCTGCCCAGAGCCACCAGCAGACTTGTGTTTGTTTCGCTAGCCAGACTGTTTGGTGTGACCACCCTTAACTGTAAGGGAGCCTGGGAGACCTGGGAGGTCAAGTACCTCTGCGGAGACTGGGTACCTTGAAAGTGCCTTGCAGGCCGGGCGCGGTGGCTCAAGCCTGTAATCCCAGCACTTTGGGAGGCCGAGACGGGCGGATCACGAGGTCAGGAGATCGAGACCATCCTGGCTAACACGGTGAAACCCCGTCTCTATTAAGAAATACAAAAAACTAGCTGGGCGAGGTGGCGGGCGCCTGTAGTCCCATTGGGAGGCTGAGGCTGGAGAATGGCGTGAACCCGAGAGGCGGAGCTTGCAGTGAGCTGAGATCCGGCCACTGCACTCCAGCCTGGGCGACAGAGCGAGACTCCGTTTCCAAAAAAAAAAAAAAAAAAAAAAAAGAAAGTGCCTTGCCACACACCTCCTTCACACTGAAAACCACTGCAGGGCATGGACCCAACAAAACACTTTGAGAGTCACCTACACACCACCACCAGTGTGCAGCTGCTGAGTGGCCTTGGCACGCATCGCCAGGCTGCTTTGAAGGGCTCCAGGATATCTCCTCTCCCTGATCTCTTTCTCCTTCCTACCTTCTCTACACCTCTGCCTTGCCCTCCTGCAAAAGGATCCTGACTCTGTCCTGCCACCCCACCATGGGTAGGAGCCTAGGTTGACCCAGTCCTAACTGCATCCTAACTTTTGAAATTGCACATACCTGGATTCCAGTTATCCTTTGTCGCTTAGTAGCTCTAACAACTTAGGAAAATTCCTCCTGACTTTCAGTCTTATTTGTAAAATTAGGCCAACTCCAGATAGTTTTGAGGAATACAGTCAACTGATTCGGCTGGAAGGTTACAGAATTCTTTCCAGACAAGTGACATTTGTGTTTAGTCTTGAAAGATGGGTAAGGTTTGGTTTACAGTCAGCAGGGGCCCAGGGAGGGTGTCATAGAGGTGGGAAAGAGACCAGTGTGTGTGGAGAGCCATGGGCAGCATCCTGTTGCTGGATTTAAAAAAAAAAAAAAAATTAAAAAGATTTGGAGTCGGGAAGGGATTGAAGGTTACAGAGTGGTGGGAAATAAGAGAGGTAGGCAAGAGGCCGTGAAGGAATTTGAACACCAGCTTGAACTTTATTCCCCAGTGCCCGTGAAACGGCTGTGAGCAAGGGAAGGCAGAACTCTGGGTGGGAAGAAGAGGTTCGGGGCCTGTGGAGGAGATGAATGAATGAAGGGGATGAGAATGAAGGCCAGCAGGTGGGGAGGAGTCTGGGGCTGTGGTCCAGGTAGGAGAGAATGAGGCCTGAGGCAGGGCATGCGGGTGGAGAGGAGGGAAGAGCAAAGCCAGGGCAGGGCGGGAGGGACCAGGCTGGAGACTGACAAGCTGTAAAGGATAGCGAAAGGGGCAAGACAAGGACAACCCCTGGGACCTGGTCCAGTGACTAGGAGACAGTGGAGCCATTCCCAAGATAGGGAACCCATGATAAGGAGTGAGTCCAGGGAAAGACTCAGTTCGTTTAGGGGCTGGAGTCCTGAGCTCTGTGCTCCCAGGCTGGAGAAGGGGGTCTGGGTGTTGTCAGCTGTGGGTGGTGGCGGAAGCTGCGGGGACTGCTGAATTTGCTTGAGAGTAGAGTGGGGAGGGAGGAGGTTCCAGACACCATTTTGGTCAAAAACCTCAAATGTTCAGAAACCGATCAGGGAAAAAATAGAGTGTGGGAAGAGACCAGGCCAGTACCCAGCTACCAGGCCCTCGGGGAAACAGAAGGAGGCTCTTCATAGGGTCGTTGTGAGGTTAAAAGAGCTAATACAAGCACAGCACTTAGAAGAGTGCCTGCTATATAGCAACTGCTCATTAACATTTTAATTCCATTTCTCCATGAGAGTAATGGAAAAGTCGAGACTTTTGAAATTGCACATACCTGGATTCCAGTTATCCTTTTGTCGCTTAGTAGCTCTAACAACTTAGGAAAATTCCTCCTGACTTTCAGTGTTATTTGTAAAATTAGGCCAACTCCAGATAGTTTTGAGGAATACAGTCTTTCCTTTGTTATTTGGAACAACAGAGAAACAGTCCCGCCCCCACAGTACAAGGGCCAATTAGGGCTCGGTCCGCCTCCCGAAAATGCAAACTTTGGGAGACCTTGCCAACCACATGCGGCGGCCCCGCTTCCCGCGCAGCAGACGCGGCCAGCTCCACCCTCTTCTTTAAACCAATGAGAGCGCGGTCCGCACGAACGGCGCCGCAAGCGCGCAGATCTGGCCCTCTGTGGACCATGGGGTTGCCATGGTTACCCTTGAGGGCGGAGCTGAAGGGCAGGCTGGACCTCCCGGGAGAGAGACAGATTTTGATTGGCTCTTTTCTCACTTCACCTGCAGCCCAGGTATCTCCCCGCCCTTTCCCTGTCCTTTTTGGAGCCTGACGCCTGCTCCTCTCTCCTCTTCTCCTGCCCCAGCCTGGTGCCCCGGTGGTCTCCCGAGAAGGAGACCTGAAGTCGGAAAACCCTGAAAAAAAAATCGCTGGAGGCTGCTGTGAGAGGAGGAAACCCTTTTCAAAAAAAAAAAAAAAAAAAAGCATTTTGCTACGTGACAGGCGCTGTGCTGAAGTCTTATGAAGGATAGCTTATTGGATCCTCGTAGCAGATGAAGAAAAGGAGGCACGGAGACTGACGTCAAGAAGGCTTTCTCAATACTACGCAGCTAGATTTGGAGGACCCTGGGTTTGGATGCTAGGGCTGCCTCACACCAGGGCCCACGATCTTTCCACTGTGCCTGGGGAGAAGTCTGGAAGTGATGGGAGGGAGGAACAGCGAAATGCAAAGGTGAGAGCTGGTGGAGAGACAGATAGAAACCTAACGGAGGACAAAAAGGAAGATATGAAGGAGTCAGGCAGAGGAAAAAGGAAAAAAGAAAGTGAGGGAGAAGGAAAGGAAGAGTTTCAGAGACAGAAGGAGAATAGAGAGAGGAGGCAGAGATTCTCAGAAGACCAGAAAGCCAAGAGGGTAAAAGGGGAGATACCCGCAAGGACTCAGGGAGACGGGGACACATACCCAGAGAGGAAAGAGACCCAGAGAGGAAAGAGACCCAGAGAAGGGGGCAGAGACAGAGGAGGACAGAGACCTTGGAGATTACAGAGAAACAGAGAAGGGGACAGAGACGGGGGTAGGGAGGGACAGGGACCCAGAATGAAAGGAGGGGACAGAGCGGAGGTGGGGGGCGGTAGGGAAGCAGAGATCCAGAAATAGGAAAGAAGCTAGCTTCCTGGACAAAGACAGAGGCAGAGAAACGGAATTGAGGAAAGAAAATAGAGTGGGAACTGACGGGAGAGATGCCAGAGTGGCCGACGCAGAGTTCTGTCTCTTTTCTACCCCAACCTTTCCAGCCCTGCGCCCCCAACCCGACGCACACGCAGGTCGCACAGGAACGAGGCGCAGTCCGGAGCGCACTGCAGGGTCTTTATTAAGATGGGGACAGGCGGCGCGCTCAGCGCGCGTCCAACACCAACAGCTTGTGCATGTACGAGTTCAGCCAGTGGCGGCGCTCGAGGGCGGCCAGCAACCGCGCGCGCTCCCGGAAGGCCGCGTCGTCCGCCAGCGCCAGGCTCCTCCGCGGCCGGGGGGTAGCGGGATCCGCCCAGGCCGGTCCTGGGGGGCGGAGGCTGTGGAGAGACTCGGTGACGGCGCGTCCAGATCCGCGCTCGCCGCCGCCTGTCCTCCCCGCGGTCTAACTTGAAGCCCTATTACTGCCCCGTCGGTGGAGTGGGTCGGTCCGGCTCCCTCTGTCTCGTTCTCTGTGTGGGTCTCTGTCTCTCTGCTCACCAGGTTCGAAACTCCCCAGGTACTGAGACCGAGTCTGATGCACTTGTCCGCCCACAGCGCTCAGCACATGGCCAGGCGCACACCAAGAACCCACTAAACGTTGCTCAAAGAACGAATCCATTTCTGCATCGGCTCCTTTCCAGCCTTCTCCATGCCTTTCTAGGCATCTATCTTTCTGTGTCTCTTTCCCTTGCTGATTCTCTGTCCGTTCCCGCACCACCACCACCACCAAACCCTCCTCCCGCCTTCCACCACCCCTAGTCTCCGTCTTCTCGCTGGGTCTCGGTCGCCCTCTCTTTGGGCTTCTGTCCCTCTTTCTGGGTCTTCTGTCCCCTTTCTCTTTGGTTCTCTTCCCACTTCTCCAGGTCCCCACCCCTCCCTGGGAGTTCTGGCCCTGGCACCTACCTGAGGACCCCGACCGGGGGCAGGGCGACTCCCGAGGCAGTGCGGACGCCCCAGGGCACCACTAGCAACAGCAGCAGCAGCAGCCGAACCCGAGGGCTCCTGGACACCTGGCGGGTCTCCATCACCTGTGAACCAGAAAGGGGCTCAGTGGGGCTGCATCCCGGCCCAGAAACCCCGGCGCTACCATGCACCCACCCCCAGCTTCCCGCACGGTCCCCTACCGCGCAGTGGTCTCGGGCAGCGATGCTGGCAGCCCCCTTATATCGCCTCCGCAGCCCCCGCACCGGGCAGTGACGCAGGCCGGGGGGCCGGGGGCGCGGGGTCACCCCCTCCCCAGGCTCATTAGGAGCCGCCAGCGGTAATGAGGAGCCGGGGGTGGGGGACCTGCCGCTGCCTTGGCCGCCACCAACTAATTGGGACCAGAAGCTGGACCTGAGACGAGGGAGGGGGAGAGACAGACAGACAGAGAGGTGGACACAGGGGGTGTGTCAGAGGGCTAAAAATAGAGACTGGCGGAAGGACCGTCAGAGGAACAGAGACACAAAGAGAAGGACAAAGACAGAGTGGCCGAGGAAGAAATAGAAAGAAAGGGAACGACGGAAAAAGAAAGGAAAAGGAAGAAACAAGAAAAGAGAGCAAAGGAGATGGAAACGAACAGTCAGACGGAGATGGAGGAGAGAAAGAAAAGGCTCTCAGAAAGACAGACGGCAATGGAAGGACATCCTGGCCTGGACGGAGCTGCCCAGAGATAAATCCAGCAGGGAGAGGCCCAGAAAGACCAAGGGTGAGATGGTGAGGGGGGAAAAGGCAAGAAATGGCAAAGGGTACGTGTGGCAGGGGTGTGAGGACAGGAAAAGTAACAGACAACATCAGAAAAGCCTCAGAGAGAGAGTGAAGAGGGGAAAACAGATAGGGCTCCTGAGCTGCCCTGAGGATGTGTCTAAATCCTTATCTGGGAGGAGTTTGGGGGTGCTGTTAAGATTAAAGCCCAGTCCTCCTCACACTGACTCTTTTTTTGTGTTTGTTTGTTTGAGACGGAGTCTTGCTCTTGTTGCCCAGGCTGGAGTGCAATGGCACCATGTCGGCTAACTGCAACCTCCACCTCCCAGGTTCAAGCCATTCTGCCTCAGCCTCCCTAGTAGCTGGGATTACAGGTGTCCACCATCACTTGTGACTAATTTTTGTATTTTTAGTAGAGACGGGGGTTTCGCCAAACTGTTGGCCAGGCTGGTCTTGAGCTCCTGACCTCGTGATCCGCCCGCCTTGGCCTCCCAGAGTGTTGGGATTACAGGCATAAGCCAGCGCACCCAGCCCACGCTGACTCTTAAGAGGGGCCTCAGCCGGGTGCAGTGGCTCACACCTGTAATCCCAGCACTTTGGAAGGCCGAGGTGGGTGGATCACTTGAGATCAGGAGTTCAAGACCAGCCTGGCCAACGTGGCGAAACTCCTTCTCTACAAAAATACATAAATTAGGTGTGGTGTAATCCCAGCTACTTGGGAGGCTGAGGCAGGAAAATCGCTTGAACCCGGGAGTTGGAGGTTGCAGTGAGCTGAGATTGCACCACTGCACTCCAACCTGGGCAACAGAGAGAGACTCTGTCTCAAAAAATAATAATTTAAAAAAGAGGAGCAAGTGAGGAGAAGATGGGCAAAACTTGGAAGTCCTACAGAGCAGTAGCAATTTGGGATGTGGGAACTTGGGCCCCTAGTTTCCTAGGAAGGTGGTAGCAGAAGCTTGGGCTCCTGAGTCTAAGAGTGGATGGGACAGGGACCCAGATTCCTATGTTCTGGGAGAGGATGAGGCTAGAGACTTGGATTCCTGGATCTGAGGAAGGAAGGAGGTAGAGGACTGGAGTTCTGAGTCTAGGGGGAGGGAGCTGTGGGGTACAACTTAGGGGACTTGAAATAGGAAGGTACCAGAGAACTAGACCCCTGGGTTTCCAGGTAGGAGAGGGTAGAGGACCAGGACCACCGGTTTCAAAAAGATAGTTTGACTGGGCCACATCTCCAGTAGATCATTCCAGTTTCTAACTCCCTTCCCCACCCCAGAGACAATGTCCTTTACTTCTGTCCCTTTAAGAGTCTAAGTCTGTCGCTAGGCTCCCAGGATCCCCTGGGAGGGGTTCAGTTGCATCACCTGTGTGCCCCTGAGACCCTACCTCTCACCGCCCTGCCCAGAGCCATTCTGTAACATTCACTGTTCTCTGCATCCAGCTCTGCTCATCTGCTGTTATCTTGGACACCAGAGCAGGTAAGAGACCCCAGGACCTCAAGTAAGCCTGTCCAATCGATGTGTAGGCTGCCTCCACCTCCACCTGACCACAGACCTATGCTTCTCTGCCCATACTAGCCCCAGCAATGCTGAAATCCTAGCTCCATCCTCAATAACAGACTTGAGAGTGCTGCTCCAAAGCTCTCATCTTCAAGTCCTAACCCCTCCACTCTGCAGAGCCCAGACCTCCAGACCCTGAGGACTCGGAGGTCCCAATTCCTTTCTAACTCAGGAACCAAGAGCTCAAGGCCTCTTATCTCCTTTCACCCCTGTTATCCAGCCCCTAGACCTTGCTCCCTCAAAATTCTAGGCATCTGAACTACCAGCCTTCTCCTCCCTACAGAACCAGGAGCCAGGAACCTCAGCCCCCTCACCCTGCAAGACCCAGGAATCTGAACCCCCAGCAACTTTCTTAACCCAGAACCCAAACGTCTCCCTCCTCCCTCAAATCCATGAGTCCAGCCCTCAGCCCTTAGTAGCCTCCTGTAGTGTAAACAACTGCTGAGTCGAGGTGTCCCGGGGGACCTCGGAGAGGAAGGAGATCCCACGTCCCCTCTAAGGCCTGACACCCTCCAAAGTCGAAGTCGAGGAGATCTGGGAGCCTGGAGAGGTATCGTTCTTTCCCAATTTTTCTAGGACCCCTCGATGAAACAGATAAGGAGATTAACTACGACTCCCAAGAAGCCCCGCGCCTCAGTCTCCCTTGGCTACCGCGGCCACCGCCCCACAGCCTCCAAGGGACTTGCGATTGGGTTCTCCTCCCATCCCTGGCGCCAAACTGGGCCCCGGTCGGACGCGGTCCACCTGCGGGCCAGTGGGCGTGACCTCCAGGAGTGGGCGGGGCTCCTGGGAGCCTTCGGCCTTAACCCCTTCCTTCCCGCTCCCCCTCGCAGCTATAGGTATCTCCCAGAGCTATGAAATCGTTCAGCCGGATCCTCTTCCTCGTCTTCCTCCTCGCCGGCCTGAGGTCCAAGGCCGCTCCCTCAGCCCCTCCGCCTTTGCGCTCTGGCTTTCCGGACTTGGCCCACCCCTCTGAGACCTCCCCTCCGAAGAGTCCTTCTGAAAATCCCACACGAGATCGCCTTAACCCAGAATTTCCTGGGACTCCTTACTCTGAACCTTTCAAGCCACCTCATACAGTTTCCCTGGAAACCTTCCCACTTGGCTTCACTGAGACCCCCAACCCTGACCGCCGGGAAACCCCGCACCCACAGTCTCCTGAAACGCCCAAAGCTGACTCACTCACAGCGTCAATATCAGAATCCCTGGATATCCCCAAAACCAACCTCTCCAAAATGACACACCTAGATTCTTCTGAGACCCCCACTCCTGGCCCAACGGAAATACCACGCCCAGGGTCCCCTGAGACCCCCAAACCTAACTTCTCCAAACCTTCACGCCCAGAATTTCCTGAGACCCCAAACACTGACCTTATGCAAACTGTACCCCAAGAATCCCCAGAAATTCCCCAACTTAATGCAACTGAAATCTCACAGGCAGAAATCTCTGAGACCTCAAACACTGGCCCTACCAAGACCCCTGACCCCAAATCTCCGGAAACCCATGACCTCAACTCCACTGAGTCCCCAAACTCTGAATTTCTGCAAGCTCTCCATCCTGACCCTTCTAAAAGCCCCCACCCAGAATCCCATGTAACCCACAATCCCAGCCCCACCGAAATTTCCCAAACAGAATTCCCCACAACCTACTACCAAAATGCAACAGATGTCCCCAGGACCTCCGACCCTCAAATCTCCACTAGTCTCTACCCAGAAACACCTGCGCCCTTCAAGGATGAAGCCACTGCTCTAAATGAGCTGTCGCTGAATCCCAAACCAGAAAGCCCTGCAGCCATCCAGCCCGACTCCCCAAAATTACCCACTTCAGATTCTCCAGGAATGGTTGAGCTGAAGGACCCCCAGCACTCTGGCCCTAAGGAGTCCAACGCGCCTCCTCCCTCAGCCCGGATTGTAGGTCCCCCTGCTCTTCCAGGGCCCCCCAATCAGTTGGCCCCTGCCACTCTGCGGGCACCCCAGAGGCACAGCCCAGGTGAAGGAGTCAACACTATCATCGTGGTGGAGAGAGTGAAGGAGACCGGTGAGGGGCGGGAGCCGGACTCCTGGGTCTGAGGGAGGAGGGGCTGGGGGTCTGGACTCCTGGGTCTGAGGGAGCACAGATTGGGGCCCTGGGCTCCTGGGTCCCAGGGAGAAGGGCTGGGGGCCTGCACTCCTGGGTCTGAGGGAGGAGGGGCTGGAGATCTGGACTCCTGGGTCTGGGGGAGAAGAGTTTGGGAACAGGAATTCCTGGATCTGAGGGAGGAGGGGCTAGGAGCCTGGACCCCTGGGTCTGAGAGAGATGGGGGTTAGGAGCTTAGATTGCTGGTCTCCCGCTTCAGGCGTGACTCTGGTGGGGCGACCACATGGAGCAGCAGGCGGGGCCCTCTGCCTGTTCCTCGCGGGAACCGCGCTGCTGATAGGCATCTTTGTGCTGCTGTGGTGTCTCCACCGCCGGGCAGCTCGACACCGGCCCTTCGCACATCACCGGCTTCCGGACGACGGAGATGAACCAGGTGAGCGCCCTGCCCCTTGAATGCCTGCACTTTTCCATAACCTGGTCTCTCCCGGCACTTTAGGGCGCCCAGCCAAAAAAGCACAGGTCCCCCATCCAAGGTCAATGAAAGCCCTGGCTCTTCCATGGCCACGTCCAGCCCCCTAAATGTCTGCAATTTCACACAAGTGTCCAGTGCCGCTCCCAATGTGGTTGGAAACGGCTTCATGCCCAGAGCCGGTGGTCCCCGCCAGCCCCGCCGCTGCCCCTCCAGGTGCGCAGCCCGGAGCCCTGCACTCCCCGCCCTCCACTGCAGGCCCTGCCGCTGCTGCTCGGACGCCACGCCTCCTGGTTTCCGCAGCGGCCTCGACCCTTTTTATTGAAAACTCAGTTCAAATGCAGATTCGGAATCCTCTCTCCGGCCTCCTGATTGGTCAGCCGCACAAAAGGGGCCCTGGAGATGATCTGCAAGGGGGCCTGGAGGGTCAGCCCAGATATGACCACGCCCCTTTGCTCCCACAGTTCTGCATTTGGACGCCCCGAAAGACCCCTACGACCTCTACTTTTATGCACCGGATACCTGGGTCCCTTCCCACATCGCCACCAAGCAGCCCCCGCCCACACCTCCGCTGCCACCAAAGCTGCCCCCGCCGCCCCGCGTGGGTCGCCCGCAGTGTCTGGAGGCCTTATCCCCAACCACGCTCCCCAACAACTTCGTGTAAGCCCCACCGAGTCCTGCCGGACCTGCACATCCCCGCAGTGAGGGAAAACCCTGCTCTCCTGGCATGCTTAGCTACCCAGTAGTCCTCTAGATAAAGGGTCTAATATACAGAGATGCTTGCGCTGTGATCAGAGAACAAGGTCTGAGACCCAATAAATATCATGTTCCCGTGGCTAGACCCCTCCTCTGACCTGAGCCCTGGGGTGCGAGGGGGCTGGAATCTGAGACCGCTGGAACTTAGCGAGGAGGGGCTGGGGTCTGGACCCCTGGATCTGAGGAAGGAGGGGCTGGGGGCCTGGACCCCTGGGTCTGAGGGAGGAGGGGCTGGGGGTCTGGACTCCTGGGTCTGAGGGAGGAGGGGCTGGGGGTCTGGACTTCTGGGTCTGAGGGAGGAGGGACGGGGGTCTGGACTCCTGGGTCTGAGGGAGGAGGGGCTGGGGGTCTGGACTCCTGGGTCTGAGGGAGGAGGGGCTGGGGGTCTGAACTCCTCAATCTGAGGGAGTAGGGGACTGGGGACCAGGATGCCTGTGACCTCCACATCCAAGAACAACTGAGCCTGTACACCAAAGCTTTTATTGGGCGTGGGGCAGGGCAGGATTTACAGTCACAGAGACAGAGACACAAAGACACAACCCTGCACCGGGAAGAAACACCCCTGTCCCCTGCCCCATTCCCTTTCATGGGATTCTGTGACTTCTCTATAGGTTCCCCAAATTCTAAGCTGAAAGAGGGGTGTCTAAGAGGGGAAGGATCCCAGATTTTGAGTCATTAAGCCCCTGAGGGACATGACAAATGGCCACTGAGAAACTGAGGGTAGTTTGAAACCACCCAGGAGAATAAAGTGCGAGGAATCGGGGAGGGGGCATCATGAAACCACCACGCGGGAGTTCAGTGGGTGGTGGCTTCAAACCTTTGAGTTCATGGACTTGAGCAGCCACTATTTAGACCTGAAAACCATGTCAGAAAAAGTGCATGGGGGTGGAGAGGCATATTGTTAAAATTGCGATTTTGGCTGTTTCCCCAGACATTATGCTAAGCTAGGGAGAAGAGGGTCTTGGGAAATTTGGTGCTTTCGCAGAATCTGCTGGTAGGGGAGATGTGAAGTGGGCGAGGAAGGGGGGACTTGAAACCGCCATTTTCCCTCAGAAACGCTGGTGAGAATCAATCCCTGGAATGGCGGGGAGGAGTGATTGGTTAAACCAATCTGGAAGATGCAGAACAGAGTTGGGAGAGATTTGAAACTTCTAGAGGAGGACCTTGAATTTTTCTGGAAGGAGAGGGGAGCTGAGTGATCTCAAGGGTTATCCTGAGAGTCCCTGGAGATAAAGGAAAGTGAGGGGGGTGGGGGGGTGCCTCAAAACCACAAAAGAGAGTAAGAGGTTGAACTGTCCATTCAAATAAAGCCCTGAAAGGAGAGATTTGAAACCACTGAGGCAGAACGGGTGGAGAGGGAACCTTTAGGGGAATTTGGGTATCCTTGAAACTGTCAGTCTGCAGCTTCACTACCCCTGAGAGGCAATTGGGAAGGAAAGAGGATTTGACAGCACTGGGAACAAGGGAGAGTGCTTCTTAGGCCTGAGGCAGGACGGAGAGGAGCAGGGTTCCTTGACACTGTCACTCAGGCCAGAGATGAGTGGAGTGGAGGTCCTGGAAACTGCCATTCAGTGGGAGGCACATGGTCAGTAGTCCCGGACAGGGGGTGGGGGCCTGGGGGGTTGAAATGTGCTGTGTGTGGCCCCATAGGAGGGAGGTGGTGCAGGGGGTGCCCCCGGGGGCTCAGCCTCATCCTCCATTTCGCTGTCGTCACTGCCAGCCAGCTGGTCATGGCCAACAAATCCACACTTCTCCTCGCTCATCTCCTCAGGCTCTGCCCACGGCTGCTTCTCTCCAGAAGCAAAGACCCCGTAGAAGATGACACCTCCATAGTGCACCAGGGAGGCAATTAGGAACACGTACTGCCACTCCTCCCGAGTCTGCAGGGGACAACAGGGCTGAGGTCAAATGGGAGGACAGAGAAACAGAGGCGGAGAGAGGGGGAGGCCTAGAGGAAGGGAGGCAGAGACCCAGAGAGGCTGAAAGGGCAGGAATGGCACCCCAGAGACAGCGCCACCACGTGGTCGGCTAGGTACCAAGCACACACTTGGAGGGCGAGTGAGTCAGGACTGCGGCACCGACCTTGTGCTTAGTCATGGCCCCCACGATGATGGGGCACACCATCCCCGACAGTGTGCCCACGCCGTTGGAGATGCCCATGAGGATGCTGGCGTAGCGCGGGGCTATGTCCAGGTGGTTCACGTTGAACCCTGGCGGAGAGACAAGTCGGAAGACATCTCACCGGAATCTGACTCGAGTGATTCCCACTGGGACGTTCTCAACCCTCTCGCCTCCACGCCACTCATGTTCCACCTTTTGTGAGGCTGAGAGGCCCCGTTCCTGAGCCAGGAAGTTCCCTACAGAGCTGACCAGAGTCCCCCCAAGCTGCGGATCCGCGGTTCTCACCAGAGATGGCGAAGCCGCTGAAGCCCACGGCTAGGACCAGGAAGGAGATGGCCACGCCCTTGGAGTGCGAGTAGCCGACCACCAACAGCAGCGTGGCTTCCATGCCGAAGCCTGCGGAGGAGGGGGGCCGCGTCTTCTGAGTGTCGGCCGGAGCGGGGCACAGGATGCCCCCCACACCACCCTTCCAGACCTGCTCCAGCCCCAAACCGCCTCTATCCGCCCCAGTCTGGCCACCTCCACACCCAGGCCTCCTCGCGCCTTCCACGCCACCCGCGCCCACCCTAACCAGGCACCTACTTCTCCAAGACCCAGCCCTGGCCACGCCCACCAACTCCATCGCCCCTCCCGTAGCTCCACCCCTTGACTAGGCCACGCCCCGAACACGTAGGATCCCTGCTGTGCCCCTTCACACCTTTCCCTCAATCCCCACTCACGAGTTTTTTTGTTTTTGTTTTTGTTTTAATGTTTAATTTTTGTTTTAAGAGACAAAGTCTCACGATGTTGCCCAGGCTGGTCTCAAACTCCTGAGCTCAAGTGATCCACCTGCCTCCGCCTCCCAAAGTGCTGGGATTACAGGTGTGAGCCACCATGCCCTGACTGTTTTTAAATTTTTTTTTTTTTTTTTTGAGACGGAGTCTCGCTCTGTCACCCAGGCTGGAGTGCAGTGGCCGGATCTCAGCTCACTGCAAGCTCCGCCTCCCGGGTTCACGCCATTCTCCTGCCTCAGCCTCCCGAGTAGCTGGGACTACAGGCGCCCGCCACCTCGCCCGGCTAAGTTTTTTTGTATTTTTAGTAGAGACGGGGTTTCACCGTGTTAGCCAGGATGGTCTCGATCTCCTGACCTCGTGATCTGCCCGTCTCGGCCTCCCAAAGTGCTGGGATTACAGGCTTGAGCCACCGCGCCCGGCCTGTTTTTAAATTTTTAATTGTAATTTTAATTTTTCTAGAAACAAAGTCTCGCTCTGTCGCCCAGGCTGGAGTGCTGTGGCGCGATCATAACTCACTGTAGCCTCGCATTTCTGGGCTCCAGCGATCCTCCCTTCTCAGCCTCCCAAGTAGGTGGGACCACAGGCGCGCGCCATCACGCCTAGCAAATCCCACTCGTTAGACAGCAGGCCCCCTAGACCCTGTCTCTCCTGGTGCCCTACTCATAGCGCCTCCTCATTACCTAGTTCATGTCCTACCACACCCAACTTCGCGCAGGCCTTGTCCTTCCAGGCCCAACTTGGTCTCGCCTCTGCTCTACCCGGGAAGTCTTGCCCCACCCTGCCCTTCCACGCGGTGGCCCTTGGACGGCCGCGTGACAGCCTCTTTCATCCAGGTCTGCCCTGCCCCGGCTCCGCCCTGTTGGCCACAGCCCTTTGCATAGAAAGGGACTCCTGGGGCAGGCTAAATGGTTTCCGCCTGTAATCACGCCCCATCACCTCTCAATCCCTCTCTGCTCCACCCCGGCTGTCCTAGAGCCGGCCCAGGCCCCGCCCCACTCACCCCCGCAGTTCATCAACTTGCGCACGTTGGTGGTGGACATGATGCGGCGGCTCCTCAGGAAGTCCGCGATCTGGCCGCCGATGGGCACGATGATGGTCATGACCAGATGGGGCAGAGCGGATACCAGGCCTACCTGCGGGAACAGGTGTATAGGGGAGACAAGGGTTCGGGGCCGCCGGCTCGGCGTCTCTGCCCGGTCGGTGCACCACCAGCTCCTCCCTGCCTCGGGATCCCGGCCAGTTCCCTCCCGCCGACCCCTCCGCGCCCCCCGCCCTCTCCTCCAGGGCTCTACCTTGCTGATCTCGAAGCCGAACACTTCTTCGAAGTAGGCAGGCTGGGAGATGAGCAGCAGGTAGAACGTCCAGCTGCGGCAGAAGTTGGCCACGATGATGGCGTAGACTGGCATAGACGTGAAGAAGCGCCGCCAGGGAGTGCTAAACTTCTGTGGGGGCGAGGGGAGGGCCGCTAAGACAGAGAGCGGGGCTGAGGGCTTCTCCGCGTCCCTTCAGGGACCCCAGTATAGTTCTGCGGAGACCAAAGGATCCCGACCGCACTGAAACTTCTATGGACCCAAAGGCATGAGCTACACCATGTTGCCGTGAGGACCCAGGGATCCTAGCCTGAAGGCGACCCTTGAGTGATGAAGGAGTCCTGACCCTATGGTAGCCTCTCAGATCCTCAGGTGTCCGGGCCCCTCAGGGACCTGTCTTTTTCCTTTTTTTATTTTTATTTTTACTTTTTGTATTTTGTATTTTGCGTGGAGACGGGTTCTCTCCATGTTGCACAGGCTGGTCCCGAACTCCCGGGCTCAAGCGATCCTGCAGCCTCTACCCCCCAAGTGTTGGGATTGCAGGCAGAAGCCACTGAGCCTGCCCTAGGAGTCTCTTTTTATGCAAAAATGCCCCCAAAATACAGCCTCAATCCAAGGTCTAAGCAGAACCCCCACATTCTTTTTTTTTTTTTTTTTTTTTTTTTTTTTTTTTGAGATGGAATCTCGCTCTGTCGCCCAGGCTGGAGTGCGGTGGCGCGATCTCGGCTCACTGCAAGTTCGGCCTCCCGGATTCACGCCACTCTCCTGCCTCAGCCTCCCGAGTAGCTGGGAATACAGGCACCCGCCACCATG